CCCCGCCGCCCCACCAGCGCCGATCCGCACCCTACACTTCTGCTCCCACCTGGTTGGGATCACTTGACTGGCCCCAAGAGGGCCCAGCCGTCTCCACAGAAGAACCTGGCAGTCCTCATCGTCCTGTCTCCAGCGGTAGATGGGCATCCCATTGACTCGATCTCTTGTCTGCCTTACCGCCTGATTAAACCAGTACAAGATGTATGAGCGACCTGCACTGATCTGCACTGATCTGCACTGATCTGCACTGATCTGCACTGATCTGCACTGATCTGGCACTCCCGCAACCCCTCCGACCGCCGTCTTCCGACTCCCATCGGACTACTCAACCAGACTGACGACGTCCACTCGCCTTTGAGGGCAGGACCAGAGTACGACTCCCCCTTGGGGCCGGCCCAGGTCGGTTCCAGCTCCGTTCCTAGCTGCCAACCTACCCCTCCCCTGCTTCTTGCCTGCTCCTGATGTGCTTGCTCGCTGCTGCAAAGACGTTGCTGAGATATACACATGATGCAAATAATGAAGCTGCGGAAAATGCCTACAGAAACGCGTACGTGGTACAGAAATGCTACAGAGTGAAGATGCTGATGGATGAGTGGTCTTGCTAGTCACAAGGCAGTAGACTGCGTTTTGCCGTGTTGTGCGCTGTGATGGGGGACGGGGAAAGTGGAGGGGTGGTGCGGATACCGCGTGTCCAGGTCTGGACTGCCATGCGGCATCTGCGAGGCCAGCGGGGTAGAGTGTGATGCGATGTGGAGTGGAGGAGATGTGCACGCGAAGGGTGGATCAGACGCGACACGGTGGAGCGTGACTCCCTAAGTCGGACCAGCGAGCGAGCCTTAATCTTAACTTTCCCATTGGATCGTGTGGGGCTGTTCCGTACGAGTTGGCGAGAGAACTGCTGAGGGTGGAGATGTGATGGTACGACCGCTGGCCGACGATTGACCGAGCCGCGCGAAACCGACATCGATGCGAGCGATGAACTCGTTGCTGTGCGTCTCGTACCGCTTGCTGCGATCGGCGCCGCACCAATCGCACCCACTCGCCCGGCTCGCTCCGCTCGCGGCGCTACACGACGTACACGCACGAGTCAAACTTCCAGCTCCGAATGATCGACACGAATCCGGCAATGAGGACAATGACGAGGATACGCCCGGGGACGGCGCGGATCGCGTTCGTGAGTTCCCTCACGGACTTTTCGAGCTCCATTGGTCCACCTGGCGAGCTGGCCTCGATGTCCAGCATTGTGCCCGTCGTCGTGCCGATATCGTATGAACTGTTTGGCGGGTGATTCGAGCGCGAGGTGACCGTGGAAAGGGGGAGCGAGGCTCGCCGCCTCAGTTCTGCAATCTCCTCGCGCAGCTTGATGTTCTCGAGCATGACTGCTTTGAAGGCTGATTCGTAGTCGATAGAGCTGTCCAGGGACGTGGGCGACATGTCCTCGTCCGAGAACGCTTCGCGGGACGAGTGCGCGTCGGCACACTTTTCGGGACACTTGGAGTGATGCCCCCAGGCGTGGTGCTTCTTCGGAGTGCGCTTGTCCTTGTCCTTCTTGTCGTGCTCCTTGCTCGTGCGCCGGAACATGTGGCGGAAGCTCGAACGCCGGCTCACGTCCTCGGCCACAGAGAGGTTGGCGAGGTTCGAGGGCAGGGAGGGGGAGACGACGATCGTCGACGAGCGCGCACTCGGGGGTTGTGACGGGGCGTGCTGGGGCTGCTCGGGCGACGGGGTCTTTGTGAGACCTGTTGGAGCGGCAGAGGCTGCTGGCGGGGGCGTGGAAAGGATTCCAGTCGTGGGGAGAGAGGAAGAGTGCTTGTGTGAAAACGTTCCCTCTCCGTTTAGTAGTGCGAGCGTCGGGGCGTGGGCTGGGGACGCGCTGGGCGCCGCTGATGGAGGCGGTTTCGTGGTGGACACAGAAGTGGAGGTCATGTCGGGGGCTGCCGGGCTGATGGCGTCGGTGTCCTTTTCCTTTTCCCGTCCATTTTTAGATGCGGCTGTCTCCTTTTCAACGGATACGGTTGGTGCATGCGGAGCAACTTGTTCTGGCACTTGACGCGTCTAAGGATGTGTCAGCTTACCCAGTCCTTCGGCGCCGCGCTTGGTTTGCTGAATTATTGATAAGATGATAGACTGAAACGGACGGCCGCGCTCGCGGAAATTATCACGGCGCTCGCTCGGGGTATGACGTCGGTCTCCGACCGGGGTCCGAGTTTACCTCAGCATCCTCACCCTCACCGGCCCTCTTGTCAACCCTCGGCATACGCAACCTCTGCACTCGCCGACGGCAGAGCAGGGCATTTCTAACCGCACCGGCGGCTGCAGACACGGTCACGTTCACCGTGTGCAGGTGACATGCAGGCATGCGCCTATGAGCTGCGCCGCGATCCGCGGTGAGACACACACGACACGATCGAGACCCAGTTCCAGCGCCATGACGCCTCCTCCGTGACACCTCTTTGCGCATATAAGGCTCCATGCGTTGTTCTCCATGTTGTACTCTTGCTCGTGCGTCCTGGGCGGGTCAACTCACCAGGGAGAAGATACGCTTATGCTTGGGCCGGGGTGCGTCCTTGCTGTTGTCCTTGGAGTTCTCCTTGTCGCTTGTCGTTCCAGCCGTACTAGTCGTGGGCGTGGACGGCGCAGTTGATGCTCTCGGCAACTGCACCGGGGCAGGCGGAAGAGGGGAGGAAGGCCGAGACTTCCTCATGTCAGACGATGTGCGGCCCAGTTGTGTTCTTTTGTTTTCGGGTGCCGAGTGCAGGAAGGAAGATCGGGGGGAGGAAGAGTGTGAACGATGGAAGAGGGAATGCAAAGAAGGCATTGTTGCAAGTAGCAAGCAGGTCGCAGAAGAATATCGGCTGGTGCAGCACACGCCGAGGCGCGCCCGGCCCATGCAGAGGTGAAGCTCGTCGGGAGTCGGGACCAGGAGCAAGGGAGAGGGAGAGATGAGACGAGGGGGGGAGGGAAGGCCAAGGGAAGGCGGCGGCGCAGGAGCCCAGTCACCCGTCGCGCAGTCGCAGCCTATGGCGCCTATGGGTCGCTTGACTGTGTCGGATCCTCAAAACGGAATGATGGTTCGACGGATCGGACACTACTGCGAGAGGCGGGTTGAGATGGGACGATGCGGTGTTCGATCCAATGCACAACCGCCCTGGCGCTCATGTCGTCTGATCATCATCGCTCCATCGCGACTAGGCACTACTGCTACTACTACTGGGAGCATGGGAGCATGCGTTCATCGCACTACCAGCAAGGGACCAGCATGCGCCGCTCTGCCGCCATCGGCCTACTATTCCCCCTTCACCCTGACGTCGCGCTGGTGGAGGTGCGTGTTTCATCCTCTCAAAAGTGAAGACGCATGGGCCATCGATCCATCGGGAACCGTGACCGTAGTTAGTCTCAGCCTCCTCTCAATTCACTGCTGCTTGCACTTGCACAACGAGAGTAACGGACAATGCGTTTTCACGGCTCCGGATCACACGGCGCACGAGCACTCCGTCGGGGCCCGGCAATGCCGTTGTCCTCTCTCCGGCTCCGTGGAACGGACATATGACATAAACCATACCATATCTCTAATCAGTCTGCGTGCCTGCTCTTTCTAATCACTCGTCCTTCTTCACGTCAACCTCCTCGGTGACCTCGAGGCCCTTAGAGTCATACAGCCACGCCCACTTGCGCACGAGCCGGCCATGGACGGATCCGAAGAAGATGGCCATGATGGTGCAGCTCATGATGATGACGTTGTACGGCATCGAAAAGTCGGGCACGGGGATGTCTACAAGCAGCTTCGGGCCATATATCCGTGTGCGGGCTGTGCGGAGCTCGTCCCGCTCGCCGATGACGGGTTTGCCGCCCGTCTTGCGGCTGGTGCCCCAGCCCTCCTCGCCCCGTACGTCGAGCATAGCCAGAACGGAGGACGAGATTTCTCTTCCTCGCTCAGCGTCGGGGACGTGGTCGGTGTACTTCAGCATCAGTTTTGTGAAGGGCACCTCGATCGTCGTCGTGCTCTGCGCGGGGAGCGTAAGGCGGAGTCGGAGCGTAGTCGTCGAAGAAGTTGGCGGAATGGACGGGAGATAGTTGAACGCATGCAGCGTGTCGGACTCGTTGCCGGAACGGGAGACAGAGCGCACGCTCATCTCGCTAATCCAGCCCTTGACCCACCACGGCCAGAACTCGCTGTAGAGCGCCTCGCGATCCTCGTCGCCATGGTTGTCGATCTCGATGTGGAACGTCCCGTCACCGGCATAGCGGTCCGTCACGGCTCGCGAGATCGTGATCGCCGGCGGCTCGAATATCTGCGCTGGTATGTCAGTTCAGCTTGTGCAGTGGCGAACTCACGATACACGAAGTTGCCCTCGCCGTCCCAGGAGAACTTTATGTCCTGGCCCGCGAGGCTCTTGTCCTTCAGGTCCCATTCGGCGATGTCGCGGTAGCGGCCGTCGACGAACTGCTGCTTCTCACGCTTGGGAGTGTGATCGATGCTGAAGTTGGGATCGTTCGGCTTGATCACCCGCAGAATGGAGGAGGACGCACGCGGGAACGGCCGAGGCAGATTCTCCTTGAACACCGAGCTGATGGTGAACTCCCTCGATCCGCCTCGCTCGGGGACAAGATCGACGATACCCTCCCACCATCCCGTCCACTGGCCCTGCTTGCCCTCGGAGGGCATCACGACGTGAATGCCCTCCGTTTTGAAGCCCCAGCTAAGAACGTTGCCAGGTCGAGCGAGGAGCTTGCTAAGTCCGCTCTGGCCCTTAGAAGGCAGGAGGGAAAGGAAGGGCGTCAGGTTCTCCGTACACAATCGCAAGTACGGAGCGTTCAGGTAGTAATGTGTGAGGTCTGTAGTCAGTTGAGCACGCGGTCCGTAAACTCACTGCCTGATTGCCGTACGTCCTCACAGTCGCTCCCGTGTGCTGCGAGCCGATACCCGCGCAGAACAGTCCACCAAGGGCCTGTCGGACGCTGTCCCACGCCTCATCCGTGTCGCCTCCTCCCTCCTTCAGCCACGCCCGGATCTCTCCTCCCGCACCTCCAGTGTCGTAATGCAACGGACCAGTCTCTCCGAAGCGGGTCTGTTGCCACTGCCCGGACGTAAAGGACACCGTGACCTCAGACGCCCCACTTCGTTCAAGTGGAAGCAGCAACCCCGGTGGTGTCAACGAGTGATGTGACTCCTCTGACCATCAGCTCTATCCAGGCGACTAACAGCTGCTAGTGACTCACCGAAGCGTTCGCCGTCTGCATTGTTGTGGAGGGAGAAGTGTGTGGTGAACTGGAAAAGGACACTGAGTTTGCCGTCCGGGAGCGGATGCAAGGTCAAAGACTCGTGGAAAGTGTCCTCCGGAACACCTTGTTCGGTCGAGAGGGCTGTGACCGCTAGTCCCAATAAAGGGAGTGTGTCGAGCAGCCTCATGCTGGCTGCTTTTGGTCGTCGTCAGCTCCGACTCGCTGTCTGTTGTTGAGTTCTGGGTCAGCGACGACCTCCACATCGACTGACGAGATCGAGACGTGACAGTCCATCAGGTGACATCAACTCGTCTCCCTATCGCCACGTGTCTCCACTGACGCGCGCACAGATACGGGACCAAAAGTGACGGTAAAGCTCTCTCTGGATCGGTCGTCTTCCACCGTCACACTCGCGTCGAGCACCGACTTTTGTTGTTGCAGCTCAACTTCTTAGCCAACTCAAGCGTGACCTCGACAGACAACACGCAAAATGGCTGCCGTCGCTTCCACCGCCGTCGCCGCTGGCCCCGGAGCTAGCATCTCCGACTCTGCCTTCAATGACAAGGTAAGCACCTCCGGTCGCGCCGGTGGCGCGTGCTGACCAGTCGCTGACATCAACAGGGCAAGCCGACCGAGGTCCGTCTGTCCAACATGAACGCCGCCAAGGGTAAGCTGATGGACAAAGTTCATAATCTGACCCGCAGCCGTTGCCGACGCTGTGCGAACGAGTCTGGGACCGAAGGGAATGGACAAGATGGTGAGCTTATTGTAGGCGCATCTTAGTTAACGTCAGATCACGACCGGAACCGGAGAAGTTCTCATTACCAACGACGGAGCGACCGTTCTGCAGCACATGGCTGTTCTCCACCCCGCTGCTCGTATGGTAAGTGTAGCTTTCACTCCACGTACTGGAGTCGTAGCTGACATCCAGCTTGTTGAGCTGTCGAAGGCGCAGGACATCGAGGCTGGTGACGGAACGACGTCCGTTGTTGTTCTTGCCGGAAGCCTGCTGTCGCAGGCTGAGAAGCTCCTCTCGCAGGGCATTCACCCGACCACAATCGCCCAGTCGTTCCAGGGCGCCGCCGCCAAGGCCGTCGAGTTCCTCGAGCAAATGTCCGTCCCTATCGACCTGAACGACAAGGAGACTCTCATCCGCATTGCCGCTACCTCCCTCAACTCCAAGATCGTCTCCCAGTACTCCCCCATCCTTGCCCCCATCGCTGTCGAGGCCGTCACCCGTCTCGTCGACCCGACCTCATCAAACGTCGACCTCCGCGACATCCGCATCGTGAAGAAGGTTGGAGGAACGATCGAGGACACGACGCTTGTTGAGGGTGTCGCGCTGAACCAGCCGGTCGTGTCGAGCGCTGGCGGACCGACCCGGATGGACAAGGCGAAGATTGGTCTGATCCAGTTCCAGCTCTCGTCGCCGAAGCCGGACATGGACAATCAGATCGTGGTTAACGACTACAGGCAGATGGACAAGATTCTCAAGGAGGAGCGCCAGTACATCCTGAACCTGTGCAAGAAGATCAAGAAGACTGGATGCAACGTCCTCCTGATCCAGAAGTCGATTCTGCGCGACGCTGTCACGGACCTGTCGCTCCACTTCCTCGCCAAGCTCAAGATCATGGTCATCAAGGACATTGAGCGTGACGAGATCCAGTTCATCTCAAAATCGACTGGCGCCAAGCCCGTCGCGGACATTGAGCAGTTCACCGAGGACAAGCTGGGCGAGGCTGCGCTCGTCGAGGAGGCGGACGTTGGCGGTGCGCGTGTTGTTGAGATCACGGGCGTCAAGCACCCGGGCAAGACGGTGTCGATCGTGTGCACGGGCGCCAACTCGCTGGTGCTGGAGGAGTCGGAGCGTTCGCTGCACGACGCGCTGTGTGCGGTCCGTTGTCTGGTCAAGAAGCGCGCGCTGATTGCTGGTGGTGGTGCCCCCGAGATCCACGTCTCGCGACTGCTCACGCAGTACGCCCAGACCCTCAAGGGCAAGGAGGCGTACTGCTACCAGGCTTTCGCGGACGCGCTCGAGATCATCCCGACCACGCTTGCCGAGAACGCCGGTCTCAACCCCATCGCCATCGTCACCGAGCTCAGGAACAAGCACGCCCTCGGAGACGCCAACGCGGGCATCAACGTCAAGAAAGGCATTGTCTCCAACATCACCGCCGAGCAGGTCGTCCAGCCCCTCCTCGTCACCACGAGCGCGGTCGAGCTCGCCGCTGAGACCGTCTCGCTTCTCCTCCGCTGCGACGACCTCGTCATGGTCAGGTAGGCATAGAGTGTTAACGTAGATGTAATGGGCAGGATGATCAGATGCATATCACTGAAAATGCACATAGCTGACCACTGGCTGACGCAACTGACATTCAGTGTGAGACACACCAGGCACCATTTCATGATGTCGGCAACGGCGGAGAGGATTGTGCTGTGTCCTCTCCGTCAAAGTCAATGCACATCTCCGTCTGCAATAGCACTCCTCATGCGACATGTTATTTCCCCAGATCCGGGTCTCTCTCCGCATATAATGGTCCATTTTGGGCCAGCCCCCTGCCAGGACAAATGGGGATGAGCCAGCTGCATGACACGTTTTCTGGATTTCCTCTTGCACTGCTAACCGCAATTGCACGTTTCAAACTTATATAACATGCGGCCGCTATGAGAATTATGACCTAGTATAATGACTAATATGCAAATGAGTGTGAGGGTGGACCGGTCCCTGCCTTGCGGCGCGGCGCTCAGTGGCGCCTACAGTAGAGTGGCGAAGACAGCGGTCCTGTTGATATTGCGATTCAATGTCCCGAAGTGACGATACGTTGGAATGTCCCGAGGCGACCATGATCCCCGGAGAGTGTTCAGGCCGTTTATATTGGTTGGTATGAGGGGAAGACAACGGAAATCTAGAGGGGTTCTAGTGGGAACTTGGGTGGGTGGTTTTTACGGGGTGGAATGACTTAGTACCAGTCCGAGTCGGTGCGGTGGGGGCGCTTGGAGCCGGTACGCGAGGGGCGGACGGAGCCGGTGTAGTGCGCCTTGGAGCGGGTGGGGGCGACAAACTTGGACCATCCCGAGGCCATGGGGCGGTTCTTCTTCTTGCTCGGCTCGGCGGTGGGGGCCGGGGACTGGGTGTCGAACGCTGGAACCTGTCAGCTGAATTCTTCCCGTGTTGGTGGTGTGTCTTCCCGGTGCCTCCTGATATCTACCCGCTCTTTGATATCTACCCGCTTCGTCTTATCAACACCTTCTCTACTGCGTTATCTGCATATCACCATACCATCACTTCGGTGCTGTGCACGGAAGCCGGTGTGGAATGCATTCCGGAGATCCGGGATCGCCGACATGTGCTCTCGCAGGCACCCGTGTGGCATACCACACCTTCACAGAGGGCACCGAGAAAACCACCACAGCGCTTTCAAAACTCACAGCAAGTGTCATCGCCAGAGCAGGACCAGCCGGTAGCGCACGCTCCCCAGTCGCAGCACTGGCCGCGCTGGGGCGCGCACCACTTGTCGCCGCACGCAAAGGTGCCGGGCGGGCAGCCCGAGCCGGGGACGGGGCGGATCATGAGGCGGGGCGCGCCGTCGTTGCGCTTCGCCTGGCGGTTGGGCGCGGCGGCGGCCGAGACGGCGCCGAGAGCAAGTGTCACGAGGGAGAAGACGGCGACCATGGTAATGAGCGTCGGATTGTGAGAGGGACGAGGAATGAGAGAAAGGAGGGAAAGGGGGGGAACGCGCGTTCCGTCTTTTGCTTATGAGGAAGAGGTGGGCGTGAGGAAGGGGGCAGGAGGCAGAAGAGCAAGGCTGGCAAAGGGCACTCGCAGACAACTGATAGGCAGCAGAACAGTCAGCACCCCGGAACCTCGCAGCTCGTAGCGAGCAACATTACAGGAACAGGATCAAAGGGCAGCGCAAGAGGAAGACACCACAGGGAGGAAAAATTCACACCATTACAAAGATAGGAGACCAGGAGGAACTGCTGAGGAACGCTGAGATAGGGACTGATAGCATGCGAGGGCATCTCGAGTATCTGCTCGCTGCAGGCTGTGCAGGGAGTTGTGGGAGGTGGACTGGGTGGACGTCGCCCGGCCGCTCGCTCGCTCGGCGGGCACCCAAGCCTACAGATCTAGAACCCCCAGAGTAACTATGAATAGAGCTCGCCAGGTCCACTGTTCTCGTCAGGACTGACAAGATACCAGGATACCAGCGGTGCCTGCGATACCTGAGGAGAGGACTCAACTCCCTCTGTCAAAAGCTAGGACGGAAGGCAGTCGGTCAAAGGAAGAACCATGGTCGAAGTGACCCAGGATACCTCCGATGCATAATTTCGAGATATCCTGGCGACATCCTTAGCGTCCTGGATGAACGTCCTGAACCCCACAGGACGTCTTCCTGGGATCCTTTGTTTTGCTGACTGTTCTGAGCTCCAGCACTGGGCACTGGATGTAGGACGCCGGGGTTGAGCCCGCCCCCGGCCGCGTGTCGGCCGCTATGCCGGCCTCTTCTACGCTGGGCCAGACTTTCTCTCTCGTATCCGAAAGAAACAGCTTACGTCCTGGAATACGGCCGTTTACGTCACCTTTCGAAAGTCCTTCTGCCACCCTCTTTTCAGCAGCCTGGAGGATGTAGGGACCTACCTCTGTCAGCTGCCTGCGCGCGTGAGCAGTATGTATGGACGGGAAGACACGTTGCCAGCTTCTATCGGGATGCGAGGAGGCTGCCTTGGCAGACGGATCCGACAGTGCGCAGTGTAAACAAATGAAGGCTGCATCAGATCTTCCCATAAGTTGCTATGATTATAGACACAGTGGTCGTCGAGCTTTGTCGCGTGCATGGCGTAAATATGAGGTGAAGGACAGACGCAGTCCGACGATACTTGCACCGACTTAGCCCCGCGGACTCTCAGGAGGCCAATTCAGAAGATGAAGAATCCAGGGTCTGGGAAATCCTGGGTTGCGCGAACTTTCTTCCTCCGAAGTCCGAGGAAGTGACCCCGTAGGCTTTCTGCTTCTCTGCTCTCGTCTCTTTGGTCCGCGGCTGTACCCAGAAGCACAGTGGGTCGCAGTGCACGTCCACAGCACGCCCAGCCCTGCGAGCACAGCCAGACGCCACCCCCACAGTCACTAAATGCGTTAATAGTGCGGACTTATGCGACCATCACACCGGAATATCCTCAATTACAGGTAGCTCGCAAAGCATTCAAGGCCGTATGCTTAGCGTGCCCAAGATTGCACAGCTGCCCAGCTGTGCTCCTGTGAGCTCCTGCTGTGTGCCTTTGCAGCTGGTTCTCAAGCTCGCTGGGTGCTCACGCGAGAGTTTATCCAGAGCCCAGCACCCTCGCCACCCTTTCACGGCAGCGCAGATCAATGCTCACCGCAGGAACAGTGACTGCCCACAACTTTGCGATTTTATTCTCGTAATGAACTGAAAGCCTATTGTTTGTCGAGGCACGTCGAGGTGTTCTGACCTGGCCTTTGCAGCGCTCTCGAGATACATAGCCCCACCCAGACTGCTCCTGACATCCTTCGTATCCTGCTGCATGCTGCAGCGCTTGCTCTCCTGCTACTCCTTGTCTCTCCACAGCCCCATTCCTCCCAGGCATGACATTCCTGTGCAATGTCTTGCCTATTTGCAGACATGTGAAGAGGTCTGCACAGCTTCATATTCAATGTTCCACCCGGTCGGTGATGTCTGCCTCGGCTTCAGTCCCACCTCCACTGGAATGCTCCCACTGCTTCTTATCCGTAGTATAGAGTTGCCCGTCCTGACCCGGAGCAGTGTTTGTGAGCGATAGCCTCGTCGTCGATGCGGTTCTGTGACTGCGGAGCTGAGCTTGTCGATGTCTTGGGTGGTCTCAGTCCCTCAGGCGTCGACGTCTCGACTCTTAGTCATTCTCTTCTGCGCTGCTGGATAGCTCTTATCGCATTGGTTGTGTCTTGCTTTGGTCTCCTGAGTTCGTCATGGCCTCTATTCTCAGCGTCCCTGGTCTACAACACCTGGAGGTCCTCTTCAGCTTCTCCCTGCTCTTCTCATCTCCAGCCTGACCTGCTCATATGTCAGTGAGCAGAGACGCCTCTCTCGTCTGCCAAGCGTACAGATGTCAGGTCAGAATCAAGCGCAATCTGACCCCGCGGAGTTCCAGAACTCTAGCTGCCTCGAGATACGTACTCCATCTGCCCTCATTTACCCTCGTTCCTCGCGTGTCGTTGTTGCCCTCTCAGCACTCTCATCCGTCCTCAGTTGGCGGTGCTGGTGGTGGCCGCCGCGCCGCGGGGCTGTCCACGATCCTGTCCTCCAGACCTGGGTTTGCCACATGCCATGTGCGGTCTACTCTAAGATTCTCAGCGGACCAAAGCTGGGCTGTGGGATGGCAAAGCCTCGGCACCCTGGTTGAGGCGCAGCGGTACGGCTCTCACGGCAGACAAAGCACTGTGGAAATGTCTGGACAAAGGGTGGTTTGGCTCCTACCGTTCTCATTGACCTCGTTATCCACTGGATTCGTGGACGTACTGGCGTACGTCCCTCTAGCTCAAGCGCTATCTATGCATACACCGCGGAGAGTTGTAGCTTGCGCCAAACGCTTCACACCGCACCCAGAGGCAACAATCTCACCACAATTTGTGGAGCACCACTATTGCTCACAAGACAGCTTGCTCAGGCGCAGTCAAGAGTCTGGCCCAGTTCTCTAGCTTGCATGAAAACCTCCTAGCTCCCCTTCAGCGCAGGCGAGGTCATTTCGAATCCCCCGACTGTGGGCCAAGCACCCAAGGCCAGCGGCGATCTCCCGTTCGTGTAAGGGCAGATACACGTGCTAGAGCACCCTCGTTCGTCAGCCCTTCCTTTGCCCTGCTCGCATCCCTTTACGTTCCTTTGGTTCCTCAGTGCCTCCGTTCCTCCGTTCCTCCGTTCCTTCGTCCCTCGAGGCCCGTGATCGGGCAGAGCCTTGCTTCTGGCCATGGCCCAGTCTGCACTCCAGCAGTGCTGAGGTCCCAGCGGGAGAGAGCTCGACCTGGCGCTCGATGCCCATCACGAGGTTCGCGCGTGGATGACCACCAGAGGTGATTCAACCTCGCCTTACACAGAGAGCTACGGCAGTGCACGCCGTAGACATGCGAGTTGTAGAGCTGCAGAGTTCGCGGTGTCGATCTCGGCGCCCAACTGTCCGAGGCGGCGCAAGACCCACCACGCCGCCTCCGCTTGCGCCGCCTCGCCGAAAGGGGCGCCGCCACTCGCTTCGATGTCCATCACTGCCTTAAGCCGTTCACAAATTGTCCAATGGCCTCGCTCTTATTTGCATTTGGCAGTCCATAAGAAGCTTGACAGATGCATGCTTGCTCCGGGCCGGAGAGGTGCCTTCGCTTCAAACCTTGGCTTGAGCTTGAGCTTACGTTTCATTTAGCCATTTCGACTAGTCACCTCCATTGGCATGAGGCGTTGCTGATTGACCTCCTCACTGTGCACATGTCCCCAAGACAATCGAATTCAAGTCCACCACTAAGCCCAATCATGTATGAGCCCCACCCTGTCTAGAATCTGGCTATCCGGATCGCTCCAAGCTTCCGTAGGGCGCAGACAGCCAGTGATGTAGGATAATAATCCAGCGCACATTCCAGCGCACATTGATCCACCAAAAGACCTGGGCTCATACTGCGGCCACTAACAGCTCCCACGACTCGATCAGCTCGTGCGTAAACCGCGACATACCCAAGTTACTGCGGTATTCTTGCCCCCCCAGGTTCACTGATGCTTCTTTCTTGACTGCCTTTCTTCTCTCTGGCGTCAGCGGTCCGAAGCTCCCCTCGGTAGTCCTGTGTCCCAGGCCATGCGATGCGCCGGGAGGCTCGCGAAGCCGGCCTGGATTGAACTGGTTTCTACTGCCGCGACGGCGGACCATGCTGATCTTGCTGACCTTGCTGACCTCACTGGTCTTGCGAACGATTCCCACGTTGCGGCATACGGCATACGGCTGCAGTGATGGAGTAGGAAGAGCAACAGAAAAGGTGGTCCTCGTCCTCGTCTCTCATCCTCATCCGCGTCCACGTCTGCCGTATCCACTCTGTCTCTCGGGGTGCTGCCTCGCATGGCCAGAATCGAACCGACATCGAGGAGGGAGGGAGGGTCTTCGGCCAAAAGACCTATAGAAGGTCGACTATGGGCGTCATTCAAAGAGGGTTTGTCTGGTGCACGGCTCCTCGCGCTCTCCAACTGAAATGCGGTGTCCTGCTCACTCTGCCTTGATGTTTGACTGACTGACTGGCGTGCTGGGTTCGCCCAAGAGTTGAGCGGAGGCTACGCAGAGGCTAGGCACATAAGAAAGAGTCTGTGGACCTGCTCTAACCACGCAACTGGAGCCCACTGAGCCACTCGTCAGAGCTACTTCACCGTCGCGACACTGTCCACCATTGAGTGGGGCGAGAAGGAGGCTCGGGATTGTCACAGTCAGGCAAGGCGATTAACCGCCCAGCTCGCAACGCTACACTCTCGTCGTCGCTGGCCTTGAAATTGATTTGAACCTGTTTCAGTGCCCGTCTCCGCTGATGCTCTTAAAAACGGTGGTTGGGAGTTGTCAGATGGGTCGTTCGAGTCCCGTCGGGTGCACCCTCGCTACTATACACCGTTTGCATGCGAAGTACACTCTTACACGAGCCCGCCCCAGGCCCCGAGTCCAGCGAAAACACTTCCGAGAGCGACAATGAGTCCCTGTTCATGTCAGTTTAAGCGTCAGCGAATTACAAAACTCACGCCCCAAGTAACTGCACCGACACCAACACGCCCAACAACCTTCCAGGTCAGGTTCAGCGCGATGTGGAGCAGCGTCACCAGCGCCCAGACGAGGGGGAGCCAGCGGCTCGGTTCCGGACGAGGGGAGGCGGGCGGCCAGCTGCGCGCGATACCGCCAAAGTTGAACCCGGAGGTGTCGACGCTGCCGACAGCGGGGCGGGGATGGTGGCGGTATAAAGGCGCCGAGTCGAAGTAGAATGCGCTCAGGATTAATGTCAGGCCGAGGTTGAGGAGGAGCGTGTCGATGCGCCAGAGGATGTGCAGCGGAAGGGGGATAAGCTGGGATTAGCTCGAACTCGCAAACAGCAGCTTACAGGGAAGGGCACGCCCATGACGTCCTCGAGTTCTGCTGTCAGCTTCACGACCGGAAGGTAGCTTACCTCTTCTCGCGCGCATGTTCTCGAGCACCTCCACCCGCCTCTCGAGCTCCTCCTCCTCGAGCAGGACCTCCTCTTCACCGACAGGCGAATCCGGGAACTCGTCGTAAGTCTCGTCCGCGTCCTCTGCGTCCCACGCACACGCGCCGCACTCCTGCGGCGCTGCGTCGCCCAGCACATCCTCGTAAAGTGCCAGCTGCTCGTACCCCTGTACGATGCCCCAGACCGTCTCTGCCGTGCCCCACCCGAGACCGAGCCAGAAGCTCGAATGGAAGCCGGACGTCGGGCTCGGCGTCGTCAGCGGGACGGATAACAAACGCAATGCCTCGTTCAGCGCCGTGCTGATGATCGTGCTGAGAATGACGGCGGCGGTGGGCGAAATGCGCAGCGAGCTCGTTGCCACAAAGGTCGGCACGCGAAGCGCCTGGACTGTGATCGACGCGAAGACGCCGATCGAGAACGCCTTCCAGTAAAACGGATGCGGGTACGTCTGCCCCGCCTTGCGCTCATCCCTGCTGGGAGGCCTGTTATTAGCTAACGTTCGCGCGTTTTTGAAAGCTACGCACCAGCCCCAGGTCACGAGTGCGACGAGACCGGCGAAGAAGACCAGTGTTGCGAGCGGGACAAGCATGTACACCCATTTCAGGACGTGCCAGCTCACTGCTGTCAGTTTCCCAGCCACAGAACCACAACTTACGGCTGCGCAGTTGCGCCTCGTCCTCGTCATCAAGTCCGTCATCATACTCCTCCGCTGCGAAGCCGTTGAACGGGCGAGGTGTGACGGATCCGCTGCCGCGAGTACTCGGCGGCTCGACCTGGAGCGCTGGCACGGCGCCATACGTCACACGCTGTCCAGCGCGGCGGGGCAGAGGCGTGCTTTCGCTCGAGTCCTTGCCACCTGAGAGGGGCATGGTGGTGGCGAACTGGAGTATGTGTAGTGAGTATGAGAGAGATGCGGTGGTGGGAAGGGGAAGATCTCAAACTCGAGTTGTGACGATAGCGCTATCGGAACGCGAGATGCCGACATTATTTGGCTTGCCCGTCTGATCCCTCACACGCCATCCGTCACGCGCCCCTTCCCGATCTGGCGGCGGCGGTGACGAGCCTGGCCTTCCTCCAATCACTCGGAAGCAAACCCGCGCGAGAGTCGCCTGGTGTCCGCGTGTAGGTCACCATTATCACGTGATTCCTTAGGAGTCGCAAAGCGCGTACCTCTGTGCCTGGGACCTGAGTTGGGCGGAGGTTTGTGTGCGGGCGGATGACGCGAGTGGAGGGCGAGTTATGTTTTAAGCGACGGCGCGTGCAATTGACGAAGTCGCGAGACCTGGGTGGAGGAATGAATAGAGAGGAGAGAGTGGAGGCGGCTCGTGTCGGAGATATCGTCGGCATCGTCAAAGGACAGTCGCATCCCATTCCCATCGACGAGATCAGATCGATGCATCGGTGATGAGCTTAAGGCGAGTGATGACATGGTCGATGTTAGCATACACCCCCGGCGGCGGGCGCCGTCTGATGCCACGCCAGCGTCCGTTGGGTGCAGTGACATCCCTTTGGCTGAGGGTTGCGGCATGCTGGGTGCGCTTTTCCCGGTTACGCAGATACCGAGAGCACGGGGGCCCAGGATTCCAAAGGCGGGGGCGGAACCAAATCGCGCACCTACTCACGGTGTGGGCACTTTGAGCGACCAATAGCCGAGCCTGAGCCCCCGAACATAGGACACGGCGTCCACCATCACCCTCGGCACTGCCGCTGCACTATATCCACACCCGGGAAACACAACTTTCCTCTTTTTCCTTCTTTCCTTGCCTTCTCGTCGCCTTCGCAAGTCGATCAACCTACAACGCCAACGCTTCAGCAGAGCGTAAAGTACGAGCAGTCCTCCTCCTCCTCTCCGCCCGCCCAGCCATAACGAAACCAGCCATGTCTGACGAAGCCTCCGACATCAAGGCCGAGCAGGTCGCCGACCAGAAGTCGACCGTCGACCCCATCAAGTCGTTCCTCTCCGGCGGCTTTGGTGGTATCTGTGCCGTCCTCGTCGGCCACCCCTTCGACCTGACCAAGACCCGTCTCCAGACCGCTCCTCCCGGAACCTACACCGGTGCCATTGACGTTGTCAAGAAGACTCTCGCCCGTGACGGTCTCAAGGGGTGAGTTGGCGCCAGCTAGACGCTTGTCGCGTGATGGACAGCTCGCTAACCAACGTAGTCTTTACCGTGGTATCACCCCTCCCCTCCTCGGTGTTACTCCGATCTTCGCCATCTCCTTCTGGGTGAGTCCGCATCAATAGCCGCCTCGGTGGTGCTGTGAGACTGGCGATCGGAATAGGCACAGGCCATTGCCGTCGGCGAATCGGGCAGATAGGCAAATGGCCCAGCAGCCAATCTATCATCCGCGTTTCCATCCCCGTGATGCGGGGTCCTCATGTGCTACTCAGGAGGACCCGGGGCTCAGCGGGGTGCCGCGCAGCCGTGTCGTGCATTCGCCAGAAATGCGTCTGCATTTTCCCGGTCTGTGATGTCCGGTGCCATGGTGATGCCGCCAATTTCCCGATCGGCCCTCAGCCTCCACTCTGCGGCACCACCTCCACTTTGAGCCTCCGCTGACGTACAGGGTTACGATGTCGGCAAGCGCATCGTCTACGCGCTCACCCCCGAGCGCAAGTCGGAGGCGCTCACCATGCCCGAGCTCGCCTTCGCCGGTTTCTTCTCGGCTGTCCCCGCCACCTTTGTTGCTGCCCCCGCTGAGCGCATCAAGGTCCTCCTCCAGGTCCAGGGCCAGGGCGGCAAGCCCGCTTACACTGGCCCCGCCGACGTCGTGAAGAAGCTCTACGCCGAGGGTGGTCTCAAGTCGATCTTCCGTGGCACTGGCGCCACTCTTGCTCGTGACGGACCCGGTTCGGCCGTCTACTTCCTGACGTACGAGGTTATCAAGAAGAAGCTCTCTGGCCAGCCGACGATCGACCCCAAGACCGGCGAGGCCGTCGCCGCTCCCCTCTCCCTCCCCGCCGTCATGTTCGCCGGTGGTTCCGCCGGTGTTGCCATGTGGGCCCTCGCCATTCCCCCCGACACGATCAAGTCGCGTCTCCAGTCCGCGCCCCAGGGCACCTACTCGGGCTTCATGGACTGCGCCCGCAAGCTCATTGCCCAGGACGGCATCGGCGCCCTCTGGAAGGGCTTCGGCCCCGCCATGGCCCGTGCCTTCCCCGCCAACGCGGCGACGTTCGTCGGTGTCGAGCTCTCGCTCGCCGCCATGAACAAGCTCTGGTAAAAATCTCAGAAGTCTAATCATTGATAGAGTTGTATTCATGCAGCATTGGATTTTAGGCGGGTGCGGGCGGCGGAGCGAGCGCAGCGTGAATGTGAGTGCGAGCGATAGCGAGCTGGTGTGGAAGGATAGTGCGAGTATCGAGAAAGCTGTGAGTACTCTGCATTCATTAATCGCAGGTGACGGGACTCAGACTCGATTCTACGTTGGCGGCCACAGCTTTTCGGTCGCCTCCCAAATGTTCTGCGCATTGTCCATCAACCTTCCACTTCGCTCTGTTTGTCCGCTGACCATAGCGCCACCGCCTCACTGATGGAATAGCTTGAGGTATGTACTGACAGCTCACGGCCCACTATGCGACGACACCGGTCGGAGACACTCCGTCAACTACGACTCGAGGAGTGACTCGCAGTCTCAGTGTCGAAGCCGCGTATGCGTCCAGGAGCTCTCCCCTGGCTCGGACTGCTGTCTTCCACAGGCGATGCGCGCGTATCAACCTTGGTCTGGGGGGTGCGAAAGACGCCTGCCTTCTGCCAGTCACATTTCGACCTCCCTGATGGACACGGCTCACCATCAGACACCATCAGAGGTAGTCGTGTGGCACAACAGGATGCACACACCCAATTCAGCTTTCTCGACCCATCTGCATCACCACTGGCTTCCCTGGCATTCCACTGACAAGCTGAGAGCACTGATGAACAGCGCTCTCGGTATGCGACCTGCATGAGGGAATTTGAACCAGTCCAACTCTTGACAACACTCTCTTTCCCAATGTCGGTCGAAGAACGTCTCCAACGACTTGTTCAACCTCTGCCTCCCTGTCCCCCTCCCCCGATTCAAGAGCAGCCTGCGATTCAGTACTCGGCGCCGAGCAAGTTGGCGCTGATCACTGCGTCAAAGCCGGTCTTGTCTCCCTCACCCTCGCCCGCAGCCTCTGCTCCTTCGGCAAGTCACATTCCCCGCCTCGCCACCGACGAGGACAATCGTCCTTCTCACAGGGCACACGACGAGCGGAGCAGTGTGCAGCTCCCCTGGCCTCAGTGTCAAGGGAACTGTCCCCGCTCCCCCTCCGGTCAAGCCTGCAGGGATCTAAACTGTGCGTTGAAGTCTCCTCACACGCCGCGCATCAACTACCCCGCAAGTCCTTGTCCATCACCCGCCCTTCCTCAAAAGGTAACCCTCTCGCCTCCCTCCAACTCAGACCATTCCACCTCTCTCTTCTCGACTTCTCCATCCCCCTCATCCCCTCCCAACACATTGCTCCAGCCGCCCTCTGTCAACATCACCCCATTCGCTGCACTCGAGCACGCCGCTGTCGCGTCTCCCGAGGCGAGCTTCAGCACGACCATCCCCGCCAGCGGCGAGAGTACCCGTGAGCGAATCGACTTTCGGGTCCATCAATCCCCCTCGCAGCACCTCACCCCCTGCTCCACGCCAGAGGTGAGGAGTCAAGAGGCCGATTGCGGATACGCCGACGTCGAGGCGGAGTTGGACGCTATCATTCATCGGGCGTCGCCACCTCGCTCCTCTTCCAATCCCATGGCGAGGGGTCGTCCCGACACCCCCACCCCCATCAGCAACATGGCCTACCACACGCTTCCAAGGGCCAAGACACAGTTCAGGGAGGACCCGGATATCTTCGCCCCGCTGCAGTATGATACGACGTACTCGTCCCGTCCTGAGCCGTCTGTGGATTCGGAGCTGTTGAGCGAGCTCGTGACGGACACTACTGGCGTGAGTCCCCCTTCTCCCCACCGCCCCTTCCTCCCCTACTGATGGGACGATGATAGCTAACGACAGTTTACGCAGGAACGAGCTGCTCGACGCGAAAAGCGACGCATGGAGAAGCAAGAGAAGCAGCGGGAGCAGGAGAGTGAGAAGATGGAGAAGATGGAGAAGGCAAGGGCCTCTCGGGGCCCACCGACCCATGCCATCCTGTACGACGAAGAGGAGAGGAACTGTGGTCGTGTCCCACTCGTCTTTTCCCTCGTCGGAGGCGTGTCGTTGCCTGATGGTAGTGTTGGGCCCGCACTGGTCGCCCAGCCCCAAATCCAGGCTAAGCCCAAGCCAGCTGTCGTGCACTCGACTCCTAAAGACCGCCAGTCCGACACTCGTGCCCAGTCCCTCCGCACGCATCACATGAAGGCGAAGATGCCCCCGTCCTACACCGGGCAGAACTCGCGGCCCTCGTCGCGCGAGTCCGGCCCTACCTCCGAGACTCACGGGACATATGTCACTGCCCGCGGCATCAGTCCAGCTGAGCGCGCTCAGACATCTCAGCGTCCCCTGCCTCGCCTGCCTGGTGCGCCTCCCCCCGCCACAGCAACGGGTTATGACGGTCGCTACCCGCCTCTCCCAGCCCAGCCTACCCAGACCGCTCGACAGACCTCAGTCACGTTCGCCCCGCCCCCCCAGCCAAGCGTGCAGAACACGTACACCGTCCCCGCCACCCCAATCACGAACAACAAGCCGACGCTCGACGCCCTGATCGCGGCACAGATCGCGACTCCCCACCCCATCCCTGGAATCCACCACTCAGTGCCCCAGAGGGACAACGTATGGGACGACCTGTTTGCGACTGCCTTGTACGGGCTCGCTTATTCCTCCTTGTCTCGTAATGAAAAGAAAGAGGTGCAGCGCACGAAGATTGTGCGCGGCGCGCAGATCTCGGCCTCCGGGTCCAAAGGATTGGCTAAGATCAAGGCGGGCGAGGTGAAGATTGGAGCCAAGGTCGTGGGCCGGAGCGTGGCGCAAAAAATGGGCCGCATGAAGCCCGACAGGGCGTATACCCAGCAAGACTACGAGTTTGACGCTGTTGGGAATATGTATGCCCGGTATGCGGATGAGCCGGATGAGAGCTGGAGGGGCCAGGCGGAGGTCAGGCCTGCTGTTCCCCCTAAGACGGAGAGGGTGGAGAGGGAGAGGCCCGTGTCGAGGCCGGCGTCGAGGGCTTCGACGTCGGGCAGGTCGGAGCACAGCGCGAGGACTGTTGCGCCGAACCCGAATGGGACGAATGGGAGGAGGTACCTCGAAGGCGAGGTTTGAAAGTTCCAGCGCATGATTTTATCGAGTTTCCGTCATTTTTACCCTTTTTCGTGTTCGTGTTCGTCTTCCTCCACTCCGCTCCACTCCACCCCACTCCGCATTCATAACAGTTAATCAAGTTAGTCTTCGCTTTCCGACCCAGGTTTCATTGTCCGTAGTTCATGGTTTATCTAGGTTACTCTCCTCAGCCAGCTACTATTCAGGGAGTAGCTCAACCTACTCTCAGGCTCTATGTATGTTTCTCGAATGGCACGCATTGTGCACGATCAATCGCGCGGAACGTCGGCAAGACGACAGACGGCGATGTCTGCGTCAATCACTTCCGTCAACGTTTGCAGCAGCTGGCGTTGCTCCTCCGGTTGCGAGTCGTAACCAGTTGCGACCACGATTCGGAGGTCTGGGTGGCGCTCACGGTCCTTGATGCTCGACAGGTAGGAGATGGCCAGTTGCTCCGTCCAGACAATGAGGATGAGAAGTTCCACGCAAGGTACGATTAGGGTGCGAAGTAGAGTGCTTGTTGCAGGTTGGTGATGCTCCAACCGGAGCTGCTCAAGTTGGCGCCGCTCTAAGCTGGGCTTCTGAAACTCGATTCGAAGAGACGGACAGCCATGCACCAGCTCTCTGTCGCCGGCCCACCTGTCCCGGCCCTTGACATGCAAGACCAGATTTCGCACGCATGAAGGGAGTGGGATCGGCCCTGAATCATGAGTTTCCAGAGCGGCAACATCGCCCACAAAGATATCCATGCGGGTAACCCTTTCCAGCAACCTGAAGGGGCTGTGGTAGCTCAAACCGTACTGTTCGTACTGTTCAGCTTGGACTTTGTTGAAGAGGTCCCACGCCAAGTCATCGGTCCAGGTGTACACGCCCCTCGCACAGCGGAGGGCGAAGGCGTGGGCTGGGTCAATTCCCTTTGCGAGGTTTCGCGCAACCGTCCCCTTTCTCACAGGCGCAGTCGAAGGACGTAGCACAGGTACCTTGGGACGGAGGTCGGCCACGACGCTGAGGGATACTTCTTCCGGAGGAATCCCTGGGTTCTCATCCTCGTCCACGGGGTCGAAATACAGTGTGATGAACCGACAGTGGAGTTCGTTAATCTCGAGCTTGACGGCGGAGCAGAGAAGGCGCAGCTTGTTTTGCGTCTTGGGGTCGCAGTGGCCGATGATTGAGGAGAAGATGCCGGGGAAGTAGGCGTAGTGGATGGTGGCGACCATGATCGGCTTCCAGGTCACGGGAGAACCCGTTTCGCGTGGCGGGAGTTCTTGTTGTTGGGTTGTTGATACAGGAGGACAGGTGACGGAAAAGGACTTGACGTAGAGCAAGTACAGTATTCACGGGAGATGTTTAGAAGGAGAGTTGGAGTGTTGGGGAGTTTGGGGAAACGGAACCGGGCGCAAGTCGCGTCGATCGCAGCCAGCGGTGCCAACTGCGGAGATCACGAGCCTCGTGACCCTGCAGCACTGCGTGCCAGTAGTGCATAACCGTCGTCATTGAGCATTTCGTTCTTGTTGAGCGCGCTCTGATTAGTATGGCCTAATACATACATGGTCCTCGACGGGATCTATGCCTCGATTCATCCCTATGCATTGGCACTATCTAAGTCCACCTCACCAATCCTCACCTCGGACGGACTCGCGAACGATGACTTTCACTGGTATGATCTTAACCAACTTGTCGCGTAATTCGTCTTCACGTTCCTGGCTCCATTTGTGGTATGTGAGCACCTCGACTCGCAAGTCAGGATGGAGGTTCTTGCCCTTGACAGCGTTGAAGTAGGCTGTGGCGTCGCCCTCCTCGTCGACGTCCAGGAGGACGTGCTGCACACATGGGCGCAGGAGACTGGTGAAGAAGCGCCTACGCCAACGCTTCCCTTCCTCTTCCTCTTCTTTATCTTGCTCCTGACTGAAGACAATTTCCTCCTTATTAATAAAGAAGCGCAAAAAGTGACAGTTATGCAAGAGCGTGCTCCTGAACATCCACATGTCGTCGCCCTCTTGCCTAAATTGCAGCCTCTGAACGGTAGAAGGGATCGCGACTTGTGCTGGAACTAAGGCGCCGGCTGGGGGCGGGAGATCCCCCACGACCAGCTCCAGCCGTGTGGCGTTGTCCAGCAGCTTGAATGGACTGTGGTAGCTCGTCCCCGCTTGCAGCGCCCTGGCGGCCCACAGATCATCCCACATCAAGTCGTAAGACCATGTAGACACCGTGTGGGCGTTGCGGAGAGCAGCGACGTACTCTGGCTGGATGCAGGTGGTCATGTTTGATGACTCACCACCTTTGAGTTGAGAGGGACAAAGAGCAGAGATTTTGCCACTGTAATTGCCCCACGGACTGAGTCTCAAAATCGCACGCTCGGGGCAGGAGATCTCATGGCCACTGGAGTTCTCGTCAATATCGAGGATGAACGTTATCTCCGAACATTGGAGTCTGTCCACCTCGAGCTTGACAGACGTGCAGAGAAAGCGCAGCTTGTGTTGAGTTTTGACGTCGCAGTAGCCGATAATGTCGGAGAAGATGTGCGGGAAGCAGGCGTGGTCGATGGTGACGACCATAGTGCAAGGAGAGCTGTGCGAATGACTGAGTCTCTGTTGTCAGACTGTGCAGAGGACTTACCGTACAGATGGCGCCTAGAGACTTGGGTATGGGAAAGAGGAGATTCAGTAGGTGACGTGGTGAGTCTCGGTCAGGAAGGAGCTGGAAGCGGGAGCGGGCGCACGTCGTGTCGATCGCGCCCAGCGGTGGCAACATTTGAACGCCCTCGTCGTTTGCATTCAGCAACTCACAACAGTTTCTGCGCTCTATTGCTGCACGAGTCACGTATGCTCTATCCCTCACTTCCAGTATACGTACTCACTGCAGCCTCCTCACGCGGCGAGAGCATCCAGCGCACTTTTGATGACCCCCTTCACCGTGCGGATCTCCAGCAGCCTCTTCTCAAACTGTGCGAGGTCAATCATCAAGCGAATGGGCCGCTCCAGCATCCAATTAGCGCGAGTGCCGGTCAGATGCCCGTGCCACTGGATGCCAAGCTTGATAGCTTCACACGCGGGCCAGCGGCGACTCTGCTCAGTCACGAGGTCGGCGATCTCATTGTGGGGCCATCCCCCGGCGTCGGGCCAGTCGGCGAGAGGGTCGAGGGGATTCGCAAAGGTAGCCGACAAGGCTTCGTCGGACATGCGGCTGAATGCCTTGTTGCGGAGCATGCAGAGGGCGTTGAAGACGATCGTGGTCTCCAGCACGGCGGCATGGAAGAGCACGTACGCTTCGTCGCCGCGGAAGCGGGGAGGGTTGTCTTCGGTCCCCCACCATTCGTCGGTCACACTGCGGGGCGCATCGGTCACGTCGACGGCGGCCGGGTCGTACACTTCGATGGGCCAGAGTCCCGACAGCGCACCACAGTGCGGAGTAGGTGTACGAGCGCGGATGGCGGGAGGTTGAGAGTTCGGCACGTACGAGGCGTCCATGACGGAGACGATGGGAGTGCCAGGTGGCATGGCGGGGGCCCGGAACAGGCGAGCAATGGGGAGCGGCACGTTGGGAGGAACGGTATCGGGGGCACAGAAGCGGTACTGCTGGTAGGCCACCGAAGACGTCTGGCGCATCTCTGCACCGGCCATCAGCCAGCGCATGGCGGGAAGAGCGCTGGCGGCGTTGATCTCCCAACCGATGATTTGGGTGGGCAGACGGTCGCCCGGAGTCCACCCAGAAAAGGTCCACACCGTACCCGGGTCGACGTTGGCGAAGGCGGGGTGCACGCTTCGCTTGGCGCGATGGGGTTTGTTCAGACACATAGTGGATGGACAGCCTTGGTGTGAGCTGGATTGGTTGGAGAAGCACCCACAATAGGTTGGGCCGTGGATGACAGGCGGAAGGAGAAATGAACAGACACATTGAGCTCAATGTGCTAGTGACGGACAACGACATCTGCTGCCGTTCTGTCCACCACCGTGCTTCAGTGCGAGTCAAGTGCGAGAGTGCGCGGTATGGGTATCCCGCCCACACATATAGATATCTCAGCTGGCTCAAGCATGAGGGTCATCCCCTCCTCTCCTCTGTCACCTCCTCATTCCACGCTCTCTCACCACGACTGCCAGCGCCGCCCTCGACACCATGCACCTCTGGATCCTGTACCGTATCGCCGCGCTTCTTTTCGTGCCCTTGGAGAACCAGCACGCAGCCTTCTGCAAGTTCCACGAGCGTCGTCTTGGGCGCATTCACAAGCTCCGCTGCCGCGTTCATTGGATTCAGTGCTTGGCTGAGGCGAATCAGAACGACCAGCCTCTGACCAGTGAGTATCGTGATCATGGCACTGCAGCTAACGAACAGAGGCCGCCAAGCTCGCCTGTTATAAGGCCCAGCAGGAGTGCTTGAAGAACAAGCAGCGCCCTCGTGGCACCCTCGAAAGTGTGCTCGTGTGCCCTTATCCTCCTGCCATGGGCGAGGGTGTCGAGCTCGACAGCGCCGCACAGGGGCCATGGATCGGGAATGACACCCCGGCCGACTCCGGTGTTGAACTGTAGCTCTCTCCATACTACGATGCAGCCATACCAGCGCCTCGTCATCGACATCGCAGCAATGCCGGGCAGTCACCGTAGAAGCAGCACGCCTGTAGTGAGCAGCCGGAGCAACGCGCAGCCGAGTCTCGCACCTGTGTGTCAGTTCCCATGGATCGGTTAGCAAAGGCGCGTCGGTGCGAGCTGTCTGGGCCGTCTTCACACGGAGGACACTCCGCACACGACCTGCTGGGCAGAGGAGGCGATGACTACTACGCCAGGCGTCCTATTCAAGCACAACCGCTTTGTGCTTCTTAACTAGCATCGTCGACAGCATCAGCGTTCAACTCACCTTGACGCCGTACCTCCAGCCTTCGCCACCATTCTCGAAGCCGAACCGACACAATGAAGAGCACCAGCCCCGTCTTCCTTCTCCTCGCACTCACCCTTCTGCCGACCCTGACCAAGTGTGACATGCCGCAGTGGGCCGCGTGCATGGCTGCGTGCCAGGCATCACTCCTCGTCTGTCTCAGGACCTACGCCTTCCACGGTACGTCGTCAAACCTGAGGTGTGAGCTAATCTGGGGATAGAGCAGAGCGCGCTCGACTTCCAGGCCGCCGTTTCCGCGTGCATCGACATCAGCTCCATGTGCAGTTACAACTGCCATGCCCTTATCAATGTCTAGATCCGCTTTTGCACTGGATGCATTTGTGAAGAGATATCCAGCAGCGGCAGCCGGGCCAGCCGGGATGGCCTGTTCCTGCTGTTCCTGCGCTGTCAGTCGCTACGACAGGGGTCAGTGTGACTGCACTAGGTCGACCGCGTGGTGTGACGGGACAGCCATGGTCACCCGCGACTCGGTACGAACAACAGCCTTATCCGCAGCGAACGACGTAAGATCGACGAGAGTCCCGCATTGAGCCCCTCCCAGGGAGACAGTGAAGGGGCAAGGGATGTCAGCTTGCAGAGCCCGCGGCGACAGCTCCCTCAGTCCGGCTCTGGATCCCTCGAATTCCTAGGCCGAATATGCAAACATGGGGGTGGTGGAACATGTTCGACTTCTGGGTTGTCGATGCAGCCGAGGTAGTCGGGAGGACAGTTTCGACGTGCGTGACCAGACGGATCAATGAAGCTGCAACAATGGAGACAAGGCAGTAGCGTTTCGTGGAGGGGAGAGAGAAAGGGAGGGAGTTCAGATGAAACGCTTCCGCTTGCCCGGACCGCCTCCGTCTCGCATTGGTTACCGAGGCTGTTGAGTATCAGGATAACCGAGCATCGAATCCGGGGCCAGAAATGTGCGGAGCCGAGAAGAAGAGACTTTGACTTCGAACACTTCCTCTCAACCTTTCTCTGCACATCTCCACCCCGCGCATGTCATCAGCAAACACGGATCGCGATCAAACCTCTCCCGTCTTCGCGGGACTCGATTTCAGCTCCGGTTCTCTGGAATGGAACACGCGACTGTTCCAAACACTTCACTGATAGATGTCTGCGGCTGCGCTCCGACGCTTCCTCTTCGTCCAGCGATGCTGTGCATTCAAGCTTCAGTTTGCACTTCGAGTCTTCGGCTGGCTATCACTAGCATTTGCAACGGCTGTTCCTGGAGTGCAACGGAAGCGGGTGGTTTGAGCCCCGGACCGAGGCTGCAGCTGGGCATCCCGTCCCCCCTGGCGCTCTCGTTGTCAGTCTACCTCCGCAGGGCCCGTTGAGTGGTTATTTCCACTACTCAGAGACAGCTGACGATAGGGGTGAGATGCTGGCTCTACGCTACTTATAAGAAGGCAGAGAGGATACCGAACAGGTCTTCGCTCACCTTCTCTTCTTCGACTCTTCAGATCAAACACCCACGCTCCTTCACACTTACTATCACCCTACAACTGTACAATGAAGTTCGCCATTGCCCTCTCTCTTCTGGCAGCTCTTGCTAGTGCTGCCACACAGAAGTGTAACCCCGCTGCTCGCCACGTCGGCCTCGTTATCGATCAGTCGACGTCGAACCAGTGGACCGATGATCGCAACTTCCGCCTCGAAGGTGCCAAGCAGATCGTCCAGTCCCTCACCTCTAAGACAGAGGCGTCTCCCAACAACCTCGAGGCTGACAGCGTGGCTGTTGTCGGGTTTGCCTGGGATGCCTGGCAAGTTCTCGACTTCAGCGACCCCACCGCGGCCTCCGGCGCTATTGAATCGCTCAGAGACAACCTGAAGGGCGGCACCAACGTTGGTGATGGTATGCGCCTCGCCATGCAGAATCTGCAGAACCTGAGCGCAGACCAGCTGTCGGGTCACTCCGCGATTGTCCTTTTCACGGACGGTGAGGACACCCAAGGCAACAAAGACGCTATGCAGAGCGCACTCAGGGAAGCCAAGGCTAAGGGCGTGCGCGTCTCCTTCGTGCGCCTCGACTCGGAGTCCGGCAATCCGTGGCTCGGCTTGTTCAAGATCGGTGGCGACAAGAATTACATCGACGCGGCCATGACTGAAAGCATCATCTCCACTGGCGGTACCGTCTCCATCGTCCGCAACGCCAGCAACCTTCAAGCCTTCGTGGACCAGGTCCTCAAGAACGGTCTCACCGGGGACGACGGCAAGTGTGGCGGCACGACCATCGAGAACCCCGGTGGTGTTCTCAAGAACGACGTCACCTCCATCGGTCTATGCTCGACGAACGCCCAGGCGGTCTACACCTACAAGGCTGAGAAGAATGAGAAGCTGACCTTTGGGGTCGGCCTCACCTCGAAGAACAATCCTGTGCAGCTCACTGTGGTCTACGAGAACAAGTCTACAGGCGAGCGCAAGGAGATCAAGGTTAACGGCTCGAACGCCTCCGGGACCGTTGAGGCCTTCGCTCAGGCTGGGCAGGACGTCACCCTTACAGTCAACCCGAGCGGCGCCTCCAGAGACGCCTGCCAATACCAAGTCGGCCTCAAGGTTACCCCTGGTCAAGGCCCTCAGCCTACGGTCGTGCCCACCACCTCTGCCACCCCTAGCACCTCGACCGCTCCTACTACCTCTGCCACCCCTACTACATCCGCCTCTCAGTGTCCTAGTGTCACTGCTTCCACTACCACGGTCGAGCGTACCGTTGTCACGACCATGACGGTCCCCGCGCCCCCCCCTTCGGCTTCCGTTTGCATCTGCAAGTGCGGTACTGAAGGCTCTAAGCCTCTTCCGAAGTTCGAGCTGTAAACGCTGCTCGTTGTCCCCCTCCTTGTCGGCTTGGTACGATTGCTGCAATGAACGTTGCGTTGTTATCGCGGCATCGCAACACTTCACCTCTGCATTCACCAAATACTTATTTCTCATTTGATAGCTCTTCAAAACTCGTCGTCCTCATACTCCTCCTCTTGCCCTGGCAACACTGGCCCCATATAGTTCAAACTGTATGCAGCAAGTTTGTGACCTGTGGCCACGGCCTCCTCGATCGATTGACCCTTCGCGAGACCAGCCACAAGACCCCCGGCGAAGAGCTCCCCGACGCCCCGGCGGTCTCTGGGCATATGCTCCCAGTATTCAGGCTTCTCGGCGGGCGGGGTCTTAACGTAGGTGATCTTCGCCTGGCAATCTTCGAGGAGAGGACTAAACTTGCAAATGGCGATATCCTCCGAGCCGCGTGTGACGATCACATACTTCACCAACGAGTCGCCGTTGGGAAGGGGGAGCATCATGTGCTCGACGCGCTTCGGGTACAGCCTTCCGATGTGGCGAATTCCCTTCTCCCAGTCTGCCTTCCCCGAGCCCCACTCACGCTCGATGCATTCAGCCTGGTCCTTGTTCATGATGACGACGTGGGCTGCCTTGCACAGGGGTTGGAAAGCATAGTACTCCCTGATTCTGGCGAGGTCTGTCATGCAGAAGTTGAAAACGACGCCCTGGCCTTCGTTGTCGGCTCGCTCTGCGAGTGTCCTTGCGACACCCAGGTGCGCATAGATGCTTCCGGCATCAATGTAAAGCCAACTCATCTTGGCTGCCTCCGCCTCAACCTCTGGCTCCTTCAGCCACTCGTAATTCCATTTAGCACCAGCCAGCGGCACCGTCCAACGGCAAGATTCGGGTTCGCCGGTGTTGAAGTTGAAGTCGTTCCAGAGCACGCGGAAGCCGGTCTGCTCTTTCTTGATTGTCTTATAGATCGTCTTGACGTTGTTCTTCTTCATACCATCCAGGCACACCGTTCCTGCGTAGTCGTCACCGATCGAACCGATGACCACAGTCGAGTCTGGCTTCTCCATGACGTGCTGTCTTTAGCCCCACGCGACCGGGCCTGCAGGAATGACTAACCTGCGCGGCAATGGCGGCGAACTGAATCTCGCCGCCGAGTTTGCACTTCCTCTCGCGGTCCTTGAGAACATCGTCCATGAAGCTAACGTCAACTCTGACCAAAGAGAGCACTCGACTACTTACGTATTGAAGTCGCAATGAGTGAACTTGATTTCGTTGTACTCCTTTGTCGCAACTTTGTTCGTGTTCCCGCGCAGGTTGTAGCGGGCCTCATACATCCTCGAGTACTTGGGATTCCACCCGCGATCAACCTGGGTTGTCAGAGCATGATTGGGGGGCGTTGCATACCAGTGGCAGTCCGAAGAACACAATGTGAGGGTCCCTCTTAGGGCGTCTGATCCAAGTTCGACGCTCGCGGTTGTAGTAGAAGTTGTCGAGCGTCCACTCCTTCTCGTCGACATTCGGGTACACCGCAATCTCATCGCTGATAGGTCTTCCGTGGTGCTGATCCTCCATATTGCTTGGTATACGTTAGGTCGTGCAATGTCAAGCTATGCGTCGCTTTATATCTCAGAGGGTCTTGGCGAGTGACCCCAAGGGCAAAGGGGCAAAGCTTGTGACGCGGTAGCCCTGGGCGGCGAGGCATTACATCCCCAGCCTTCTTTCCAGCTTGAGCACGCCGAGGTGCACGAACACCTTTCATCGCAGCGAAGGTCAAAGGGTGCACTCCGAAGCTCAGTCCACCAGCATGGCCTTCACATTTGCAGCTGCAATCTCGGGGATCAAGCCACGGCGCTTCTCCATGCCAAGGGTAGGTTCCAGGCACGACAGCATTCTTTCTGGAAACTCTAAACTGAATACGCTGTCGGTCAGCGGAGTCATTGGCACGTTCCGTGAGGAATGCACAAGGAGCCTGCGCAGGAACTCAACGAGTTGTGTGAGGGGCGACGTGGACAGCTCAGAGTCCGAACCCCAGAACCGCACCCCTCGCAAACTCCACTTCCCATGAGGACGGAGCTCAGTGGACCGATCCTGGCTGTGACCCCACGCGCATCCGCGACGAAACTTCAGTAGTGTGTCCTTGGCGGAAGAAATCATTCAAGCGTGACGCGCTATGCAATGAGGTGCATAGAGGCAACCGAAGACCCTCCTCAGCGAGGATTAGCGCTGCTGTCCGAGGTCACGGGTCGTCGGCGCAGGACCTGTCCGAGCCACCCGGCAAGTGCTCAGGGGCAACGAAACATTCGGTGCAAGGGAGGGAGACCAGCAAGATCGTGCGTTTCGGTTAGTGTGATCGAGCATCAGTTCTTAGGGGCCAAAGGGAACGTGAGGTGCGAAATCATCGGCCCATCTCTGCCAAAAGCCCTGTGTTGGCGTAAGGTTCCTTGGTGGCATTCCTCGGCGTTCATTTTCGAAGATAGCCCTAAAGAGCATTGCTCGCCCAGCGCTTTCAAGCACCGTACGGAGCCTGAGGAAAGGCTAAGCTGAAGTTCGATGTGGAGGACGCCAATGTCAAGCCAGCGGACTGTGATTCGCGCCAGCCGCATGAGGCTTGCCTGGAATGCTTGCGAAGGCCTTCTTCACGCCAGGTGACTCATCAACGAGCCACGACAGGAACGGCACAATTTACCTCTCAAACTCTATCGCTGATTTAGCATACTGCGCCGGGACTAACGTCCTCCACGAACATGCCCGCTGATCAAGTTTGTGGGAGCGGGGGAGCGATGTCCCTAGAGCACCGCATTGGAAGTGAACGGCTTCGGCTTCTGCCGCGCTGTTCTCAATAGGAGAGTGTTGTTGAGCCACGTGCCTACTTATCACACGTAACCATCGCGTGGTCGAAGTTTGATCCATCTGCGGAAGGCTCTTACCACGCTGTGTCGCATTCATATCACTATAGATCTCAAAACTGATACGTAGCTGAGGTTTTGGGAGGCAGTTTCGGGCCCTTCTGGGTCAAGCTGTAGGCAGCCAGGGCGTGGCCACATGAAGCAGCCATTTGAATGGGGTAGCCTTTGGCAAGCGCTGCAACCAAGCCGCCCGCGAAGAGGTCACCGACACCACGCCTGTCGTGCGATCGTTCATGTTGCCACTTCCGCCAGTCAACGGGATCGATGGGAACAGAGGAGACCTTCGTCTGGCTCTTGTTGCCGGGGTGTCCTTCGATGAGAGCATAGCCATCCTCTCCGCGTGTCACCACCACCCATCTCACAAAGTTTGGCTGCTGCTCGGGCTGGGACTGAGTCGTCGATGGCTGGTGAGGTGGACTATCGGCGATTGCTGTTGCGCCCTTCTTCCAGTCACGATTCTCTTCGTCGTTGGTGCTCGCGTCGCAGCGTTCAGCCACATTTGCGTTCATGACGACGACATTGGACAGGGCTATCAGGCGGCGGGCATCAGTCTCATGGTCTTCGAAGGTTTCAGGAAGGGACATGTTGAAGATGATGCGCATTCCATCCTTCGCAACGCGCTCGGCGAGCTGCACTGCCGTCGTCGAGTCGGCGTACAAGCTTCCACTGTCCAGATATAGCCATGTGGTTCTCGCAATGGCTCCTTCACTGTCCTTTTGCTTCAGGTCGCCTACTGTGTAACGACTTGCCGCTCGGGGCACGACGAAGCGGGTGCTTAGGAACTTGCCGAACATTGAGTCGTCCGTGTCATACGTGACGCGGAAACCAGTGCCCTCACCTGCAATTTTCTTGTACTGAGCTGCGACCCCTCCTTCTTTCAGAGTTTGGATGCAAGCTTCTCCAGCCTTGTCTCCTCCCACTGCACCGAGTACTGCAACGGAGCCTGGCTCTCGCAAAACGAACTGAAGTCAGCCAAATGATGCAGGACGGGTGACTCACCGCCGAAGCGAGAGCTGCGATCTGCATTTCCCCTCCAACCTCGAATTGATCTTCACGTCCCTTGAGAACGTCGTCTAAGAGGCTATAGTTAGCTAACCACGTCGATCAGAGAAAACGCACGTGTCAAAGCTTCCGTCCCTGTTCCCGAACTTGGAGTCGGCAGTAGCGACTTTGTTGACGTTGCCCCCCAGATCGTACTTGAATTCACAACTGGGCAAGTTGTCCGGGTCAAACCATCGATCAACCTGGACACAGAGTTAGCCCGATGATCTCGCCACAACTACCCACCAGTGGCAGCCCGAAGTACAATACGAATGGAGGCTCACGCTCCGGGCGCTTTACCCATTCGCCTTTAGCGTTATAGTAGTAGTCGATGGTGCTTTCAGGTCTGGACATACTGAGTTGGGTCCACTACGTCTCTTGAAGCTTAAGCATTGCTTATATATGTATCACTCTCTGACACTGAGATCGTGCATGATACGACTGCCCACTCACACCAACCGCCTTAGCGGCCTAAACTGCCTTCAGAGCTGCGTTCTCAGCCTTTCAGCCTTCGTGGCCAACGGTCTGTCACCGGGAGAAGAACGAATAGAATATGGGCTCTCTTTCCTTGGGTGCGGTTTCACACGATCGAATAAGTTTGCGCATAGTGTAAGATGTGCAGAAGCCGAGGATGATCGAGAGGAAGCGGCGGTCTGTCGCAAGTTCGACCAAGGTGTGAGTCGAATGACATCACGAGCTAGTCCGCAATGGTCAGGAACCTATTCAGTCATGTCTTGAACTTTATACTCAATAGCCTATCAGCCCGCGGCGTGACAGCTCTTCGGCCGGGATGTCTCGAACGGCATAGCGCTAGTGCACTATCTAAGAGGTGTTGTCAACCTTATGCACGAGGATATAGGAACGAAGTACATCGGAATTGCACACCTCGCACAGCCTTGTCGCCGACTTCGGTCGAGCTCAGGGCTACCTGTTGATGTTTGCAAATCCGCCTCCCTAGTCTATGATGGGCTGATATAGCCACATAGAGCGCTGAATGGGTGCATGCACTGGTGGGAAACACCGTTGCACGCAAGAGTAGCGCACTGAATGCAGGTTCAAATTGCGGTAGCCCAAGCTCAAGGGATCCGCAGTTCAATCGACGGATGTCACAGATGGAGTGCGGACAAGTTTGATCTACGCACCGCTATATAAATGTGGAAGGCCGCTTAAGTTACTCCTCCGAACCTGCGAAGCAGCATCTGGGTCTGGTACGTAAACCCAGCAATTTGACAACTGTGCAGCCCTGGGAGTTGCACAGCCCACTCTCGTTGTGAAAATGGACTGTAGCGCCCAAGCATGCTCAGCTCGCGGCCGTCACTCGCCACTGCCGGCCTCTTGCGACGTCCACATGTGTACGCGTCAGGACCTAGATGCTATCGAGAGTGCTTACTGCAAGATTGGTGGTTGACTACGAGGAGCACTTGACTGGCTACTAATCGTGCCGCAATGACAACGCAAGTGGTTCCCCTGATTGGTAGAGTGTCTGTCCTGAGGAGCTCTTCGCCCTCGCATTAGGGTAACTCAAAATCAATCCCAACAGGCCGTTAAAATCACCAACAAAGGCCATGTTCTGCCGTGAAGTTCCACGTCACAACCGGATACTCCCCCAGTCCTCTTCATTATCTTACGTAACTGTGTCGACTGCCGCGGCGCCGAGCCCGTCGCAGCACCCGATGAACAACTGTCTTCCTGTTCGTATAACGGCTAGTATGCTCGCTTGTCATGATGATCGCGAGACAGGCCTTCAATCCTGGCTTCTGCGCGTTTTTGTATTACCTCGTTCCAGCGATATGTGCCTGGCGCTGTTTCCGGCACCGTATCACATTGACCAGGAGAGTGAGAGCTGAGTGTGCCTCGACGATGCTCATCAATCGCCGAATACACTCGACAGACAATGTATGTCTCGCCGCTCGCTGTCCGCACCTTAGCGCGGCCCTGGTCTCACTTGGACACGGTAGTTTCGGTTTTCCGCTATTTTCAATTACGAGTTAAGCATTCCACTTCAAGTCTTCATTGACACTACTTAAGACATACTACCCCGTACCTAGGAACTCTGAGCAGGCAGCTGGGGACCCTCCTGTGTCAAGCTGTACGCAGCCAGCTTAATGCCGGTCGAGACCGCATCTTCAACGGATTGGCCCTCCGCAAGGCCGCCGACGAGACCTCCAGCGAAGATGTCTCCAACTCCTCGACTGTGGCTGCCCTCGGACGGTTCAACAGGTTTGACCTTGACGCTGGAGACCTTGGCCTTGCTTTTGTTGTTGGGATGTCCTTCTATAATAGTAATGTCCTTGTCTCCCCGAGTCACCACCACCCATTTAACAACGTCCGGCTTGTACTTCTCGTTCTTCTCAGGGCCGAGTGGCGGGGTCTCAGAAATGGTTGTTGCACCCTTCAGCCAGTCGCGGTTCCCAGTTCCACGATGATTCTCGTCGCAGCGTTTGGCCGTCTCCTCGTTCAGGATAATAACGTCAGCCATCTGAACCAGTCGGAAAACACCGAAGTCTTGCTCCTGAGTGGTGTCGGCGAGGGACAGATTGAACACGACGTGCATGCCGTCATTGGTGATGCGCTCGGCAAGAGCTACGGCGGTGTCCGAGCTTGCGTACAGGCTCCCGCTGTCGAGGTACAGCCAGGTGGTCTTGGCGACGGCAGCTTCGATATTTGCCATCTTGAGGTTGGAGGGCTTGACATGTGCGCCTGCGCGAGGGACGGTGTAGCGACAACTCGTGGCCAGGCCAGTAGAGGAGTCGGTCGAGTCATAGATAAGGCGGAACCCGGTGCCCAATTCCCCTTCCCCTGACAAAACCATGTACAGACTTTTGATGCCCCCATCCTTCATGGCCTCCAGGCACATGTCTCCTGCTTGGTCACCTCCCAGAGCCCCAAACACGGCAACAGAGCCCTTCGTTTTCAGAACGTGCTGAAGTCAGGCGGACGCCGAGGTTTCAACACTTACGGCAGTGGCTTGGGCGGCGATCTGCATTTCTCCTCCGATGTCGAAATCGCGGTTGCTGCTGCTGACTACATCTTTTGCGAAGCTACACTCAGCCTCAAACAAGAGGGGAGACTTACTCATCGACGCCCCATTGTCCAACAGTGAAGTTCTTCCCGGTGGCAACCTTGTCTACATTGCCCCCGAGTTTGTACTTGTCCGCGAGCTTGGCTACGTCGTTCTCATTGAGCCAGCGATCAACCTGCAAACATGATCAGAAACCTGAGGCAGAAGACTGGGAGCAAGCTACTGACCAATGGAAGACCGAAGTAGAGCACGAAGGGAGGCTCGCGCGCCGGGCGCTTTACCCACTCGCCTTTATCGGCGTCAAAGTAGTTTCCGGAGATGCTGTTTGCTTCGGACATGGCGAGGTGTGTCGACTACTCTTAACACTGGCTCCCGTTACGCATTTATAGGTGAGACGTTCACACCTTGGACTAGTACTGTGGATGGTTTAGATTGCCCAGATCATCCGGCCACCCCTAACGGTTTTGACGGCTGCGGAGCTGCCTGCTCGGTCTTGGTAGCTCGCATATTCTCTTCCCTAGCCTGTCCCCTACACTTTCACGCGATCGAATAAGTCTGTGTAGCCATGTGCAGGATGTGTCGAAGCCGAGGAAGGCTGCGCGGGATCGGAGCCCCGTCGCTGCGCTTCTGCGCTGAGAACAGCGGAATGCGGAGCCTGATAACATCAGAAAATAATCCGTTCATTCAGGCACCCATCAATTCTGTCTTAAACCTTATATCTACTTTCCTATCAACCAGTTGCGTGACAATACCCTTTGGAATGCCCGAACGTGAAGGCGCGAGATGCTGAGGGGCAAGGAATTCCGGTGACAAGGTAAGGGACAGCTGACTACCTTTCTTGGAACGCAACAGAGGATCCTGTCAAATGGCTCCCCGGCACAGCTCCTCGATATCGATCGAGCTCAGGGCGAATCTGTCAACAGATTCCGCTGCACCAGAGTCTCTGGCAGGATCTGCTTCGTCATCACAGTTCTATCGTGCTTACAAACGACACGCGTTATTGCAGGCGTTCAGTGCAATGCAGAGAGGACAGCAGGTGCGGTCGAGTTCGAGGAGACTCCAACGCTGACCACTAGAATAACCACGCAGAGCTCGCCTCCGAAATTTGGGGCTTCGAGCCGACAGTGTAAGGATTGCAGAGCGGTGACATCGAACAAGCTCATATTTCTCAGACCTGAAGAGACTTGATTGCTGCTTCACTGAACCAAAAGAGCACGAGGTTTCGGGTCAGGTGAATGAGCTTGAGGTACCGACTGCTTCGCAGTATTGTGACCAAGCCTCCCCTGTGCGAGGTATCGGAGAGCACTTTCGTATTATCACAAGCACGCAACCGCAATCTCGGCTCGGTGCATTGAACAAAGCTCTAGTTGAACTCGGAGTATCATGATCAAGTCTCCTCCTCTGAGTAGCAATTATGCGACAGGATTGTGTAAGCTTCCGAGGCCATTTCGGATGCCTGGTTCACGAAAAGGCTGACGAGAAGGCACCACCTGGCCAAGTCCATCTGGGAGACTTCGACCCGCCCTTCGCTGGCCGCAGCAGTGTGTTTCTAGGACTTCTTGGCGCTTGATATGACGCAGGAAGGGCTTCAACCCCGTCAATGGACGTCGGAGTCAACTAAAGCCCTGATCACAGACGTGTTCGGCATTCTCACCCCAATACTCCCCTAATCCATGCCTACGTGTTACGTAATCTGACTTGCAGCGCGGCAACGAGCCCGTCGCAGCGTCTTGCGAACACCTTCTTTCCTGTTCGTATAACGGCTAGTATGCTCGCTTGTCACTGTGATCGCGGGAGATCGGAGTTCGATTCTCCGACAGGAAGCTTTTTGGAGCCTGCATCTGTGCCAGACGAAAGGAAGACAAAAGGATCGAGAGCAGGGTGTGGTTGTTACCCTGACAGGCCGTAGACTGCGGGTGAGGGCTTCCAACTCCTCAACTTGGCGGGCGAGTCGCCTCTGTGTTGATGATAGTTCAGCTCCCTACTGGGCTATTGCGAGCATTCAGATATTTCCCCATGTTCTCCAAAGCGATATAGAAGACGTCTACGATAGCCAACAACTGCCGCCGAAGGAAAGAGGTACGTGGCCTGGTTATCGGCCGCAAGCAGCCGCTACGAAAAAGTGGCAAAGAAGGACGTCAGTTGCCCCAGATTTCTCCAATACCCAGGCTGCTTTGGGGCTGCAAGGGCCATGTATCCGTCATGAAAGGTAGCTGTGGGGAACAAGATACGAGTTCTTGTTTCGTGGATGATTCTGTCAACCGAAGTGCCGATCAGATGCCGTGACTTGCCGGATGAACCGGTTCCGGCTCACCGGGCCGGTTGCCGGACAGCCGGGAACTCGCATGCCAGGCGTACTAATATAGCGGGTTTTGGTGCCCACTTCCTTCCCACCATCGCCTCATCCATCATGTCCTTCGTTGAGCAACTCTTCGGACTCTCTGGAAAGACCGCTCTGTGAGTCTAGAGGTTGTGCCCGAGCTGACGAGGCAGTTTCACGGGCGCGACCCGCGGTATCGGCGCCGACATGGCGCTCGCGCTCTCGAGGGCCGGCGCCGACCTCATCCTCGTCCAGCGCAACAACACGAACACGACGACGCTGGACAAGATCAAGTCCGAGGGAGGCGTTGACGGCAAGGGTGGGAAGGCCGAGATCGCGGTCTGCGACCTCGCGGATGCGGAGGCCGTGAAGAAGCTCGTTCCTGGCATCGTCTCGTCGGGCCGCATTATCGACATCCTTGTGAACTGCGGCGGCATTCAGCGCCGACACCCCGCCGAGGACTTCCCAGAAGATGACTACGCAGAGGTTATGCAGGTCAACCTCAATGCCGTCTTCACAATCACGCGCGACGTCGGTAAGCACATGCTCGAGACCCGCAAGGACGGCAAGCGCGGTAACGGCAAGATCATCAGCATCGCGTCGGTCATCTCCTTCCAGGGCGGTCTCAACGTCCCCGCGTACGCTGCGGCCAAGCACGGGGTTCTCGGTCTCAACAAAGCTTTCTCGAACAACTGGGCTGGAAAGGGCATTAACGTCAACGCCATCGCCCCCGGCTACATCGACACGGACATGAACGAGCAGCTCATCGCGGATCAGACCCGCTCGAGGCAGATTCTGGAACGCATCCCCGCCAACCGCTGGGGCAAGCCCAAGGACTTTGACGGTGTCATCGTCTTCCTTTCCTCGCCCGCCTCAGACTGGATCTGTGGCGAGTGCGTCGTCGTCGACGGCGGATGGATGTCTAGGTAATCGTAAACTGTTGTATGGGATTATGACTCGGACTAACCCGGGACATGCGTGGTCACGGCTGTTACTCTGTATACATGCCGGCTATTGTTCTGACTAGCTGACTAAGGAATGTTCTTCTTCTGATGACTAACGCTACCTCGGCAAGCCTACTTCCGGGGCTGGACCACGTTCTCCGCTGGGAACCATTGGTTGTCGTTGTCGAGGTCACCGCAGGAGTAGATCTGAATCGGGTTGCCGTTCTCGAGCTTACCGTCGGTGACGTCGAGACAGATGTTCTGTCCGTGCACGCGAATACGGCCGTCACGCGTGTAGTCGAACTGCTGCTGGTACCCGCCGTGGCAGTTCCAGATCTTGACTTGGTTGCCGTTGTTGAGGGGTGCGTTGCCCACGTCAACGCAGTAGTTGGAGCCCGCGACGCGGATCTCGGTCAGCCCGCCGTTGATCTCGAAGGGCGGGTTTCCAAAGCCACCGCCCACGCAGTCGCCGCTTTCCTGTCAGCATGCGAGCGTGGATGTGCGCTACTTACACCTGGAGCGGGGTGCCATTCTCGATGTTACCAGCGACATGGATGCACTTGCGGCGGCTGCCGGCGGCATGGATCTGCGCAACGAACTTGGGCGTCAGTGCGCCAGAGGGCAGAGGTTTGGGCGGCGATGCAGCCGTGGCGACAACGGCCAGCAATGCGAGCTTGGCGAGGAGTGAGAGCATAGTGTTAGTTCCTGGAAGCAGTATACGAGAGTGCGAATGGGGGGTTGAGTTGGGTTGCGCAGCGAAACGGCGAAGCTTCCATCGACTGAGGTCTCTTATTTATATCATGCTTAGCCATTTGCTCGTCGCACGTCGGCGTGCGACTTCGGGTCTCTAGTCTGATCCCGGACCACAGGGCGGAGTTATTGCTCCGGAGCTGGGCCACCATCCAAGAGCGGCCGCTACGCCGGAGCCCTGGCGTGCAAGGTATGCCCAGCTACAGTATCTGACAGCCATCGCAGGAATACAGCGGTCCCTCTCAACCAAGCTGAAGCTGACACACAGATGAGGACAGGAAGTGGGAGGGTTTGCTCCAGAACATCGGAACTGTTGGAGAGTTAGCTAGATGAGAGGTACGCACTACCACGATGTACCCAGCCAGAGGCTCGACATGTAAGGTACTGAGACGGTCGCGCTTGACATCTCGCTCTCGCCGGCCGCCCCTGAGAACGTGATCGGCAAAAGTTGCGATGGACGGGCCTCGCATACCTCGGAGCAACTCTGATTGCGGCGCGTGCCTCGTGTGCGCCTGGAAGGCAGTCGTCTGAGTATCAAGGAGGCGCGATAGCAGAGGGATCATTGTGGTCACTCGTCGTCAGCTTCGGCTGTGCTGCCGTTAATCATGAAGGTCGGTGGCTTACCCCGGTTAGCCATATGGTCATTAGATCCCGGACCGATGCTGGGCTTCGCACACCCTAGTCGCTCGGAGGATCGGCTTCACCTTGGGGGACGGTGTCGAGGGGCATTGCGGAGCTGAGGCACATGATCACCGCCACGGCGACTCAGAGTTCTGAGCTTGTGATGATGGAGGAAATTCGCAGCGTCCGGCAAAGACTGATCAGACGAGTAGAAGAAGTGGGAGAATGCGGTAGGGAGGTTGATCTGGAGCGCCTGTGCCTTGCGCTTGCTGATGTCACTTGATCTGTTGAGCCAGAGCTTCCTTCGGCAATTCCGTGATAGACTCGGACGCTCGGCGGCGGGCAATATCTGGTGGATCGCTTGCTGATTATGGCAAAGTCTAGAAGGCTGCACTGGTAGAGCGCGCGAAAGCCATGATCGATGAACCCTAACCACGACCGACCCGGCGACCCCTGGGAGATGCTTGAACGGGCTCCGCTCGTCGTCTACCCAGATCTTCCCCTGCCGAAACCGTTCCCGCAGTCCCGAAGGGCCCCGCCATCATGGCTAGTCCCACGTTGGTGGTCTGTAAACAACACGCCCGTTGCGTAGAGTAGCGCTCAGGAGTCGGAGAACTTCCCGGGTGGCAGGTCGTGGACAAGCGCCAAGAAGTCCCCTGGCCAAGTTAAACTCTCTACGAACACCACTGTCTGGTCCTCTTCACTCACCGTACCCACACTCGCTGGGAGTACTTGTGACAGGATCGAGCCTCGCCTTTATGGTCGCTGACAACCGCACGACATTCCTCATTCGGAAGACCCTGCGAATACACAGTCGCGCTTACCCTAACACTTACCGGTCAAGCAGAGGCGTGGCAATGCATTGCGTGCCCAACCACTGTAGCAGGTCGCGTTTGATGGCGAGAACCCGAAATACGAAGTGGGAAACTCCAACCCATTCATCCTCTTATACTTCTCAGCCTCTAGCACACATGCACTGACGGCGATCCCCCTGTGGACAAGGCAACGGGCAAGGAACGGCGGGAGTCTGTTAGCGCTCATTGTGCACGGTGCGTGAGCTGCCGATGGAAGCGGACCGTCTCTGCTCCCCCTGAGCCCAACCAGTGATAAGCTATCTCCACTGCTTCCCCATGGCGTCCGTTTACGAATGCAGCGGGGGGCGGGTAAGCTCGCAGACTTGCGACAGCGCATTCACTTGCTGCTTACTCAGCTGAGAGTGTACGCCGTTGGCCGGGCCAGTCACAGTGCTCGAAGTAGCATGCGATGAACTCTGTGCCGCACTATCCTACAGCACGATAACACCTACATGGTGTCGAGCACTGCACGCCTTCGTGGCCTCCTGAGGGCACCATTGTACTTAAGTCTGTTAGAGCTGCATCGCACATTCGTATCTCTTAGCATTGTCTCTGCCAAGAACCTGGAAAACCAGCGAGCACTGCCGTTTCGGCTCCCCTGCCAGCACACACGGTCTGCTATCGCCCTCCCTCCACCCTTCCTCCACATCGCTTCGAAACGGTCACTCCTGGCACGGGCTTCCTACACCTCTCCACTCGCCATTTGTTTTGCGTCTCACCACCACGCGGCTTCATCTCACCTCTTGCCAACCTTGTATGTCCGCCTGCGCTTGCTACTGACCCTTTCGATCTGACGTATTGCAACGTCGCACCACAGCATTGGATGACGTTCTTTGTGCTGCTTGACTGTCCGTGCGGCACATCTCATAGGAATGAGCTCTGTTGATGCGAAGGCTCGTACTGATCCGCAGACAGGGTTGCGACAATGCAGATTATGCATGCACGAAAGCACAACTAGCATGGAAAATACGATCAACGTATGTTGCATGAAGCACCCTATAATACATGTAAGTTGGTGTTCTACCAAAGCGAGTGTGTGTGTTGTCTATTGTGTTGGAAGAAAGGCAAGAGAACTGATCCCGTGGGGATAGGTGTTGGTGTTGTGTTTGACTGTGTGTGGTGTAGTGGGGGGCGAAAAAGCGAAAAGAGTGTCCATTCCAAGATTCCCGGAGAATTGAGTTGATGACGAAATAAGGAAGACCGAAAGGCGATTACATCTCGAAGTCCTCCGAGTAGATGGTGACGTGACCGCGGCGGTCTCCGCGAGCGATGGCAACGGCGTCGATGCTCTTGCTGACGATGTTCCTGAGGGAGGTGTTGAGGAGGACGGGGCCACAGTTGCCGATGATGGTAGCTCCCTCGGCGCGCTCGAGCTCCTCCTGAACAATGGACGCCAGCTTGGGACGGCCGATATGCGCGTTCTCGGACAGAATGTGGGCGGCAGCGTAGTCGCCCTCGTCGATCCAGAGCTTCTCGGCGCCATGACGACCGCAACCGGAACAGCGGTGCTTCTGGCCGTCCTTGGTGTCCTCGAGCTGGACCATGGAGCCCGTGCGCGAGCAGAGCGAGACGGCGTTCGAACGCGCCATCTCGACATCGTAAATCGACGGCGCGACGCTCTCGATGGACGTCTTGCGGAAGGGCTCGTAGCGGTCGTACGCCGTACCGCAGGACGAGACACTCTCTGAGCGCATGTGCTCCGCAGGCTGCGGCGAGTCCGTCGTCAGGATTTCGGCGAGCTTCGAGTCCTGCTCCGTGCCCGAGCGGCGTGCCTCGGAGCGCGGAGGGATGAACGGGCCGTTGCGCGGGCTGCGCTGCCGGTCGAGACTGTTGTCGCGCGGCGAGTGCGGCGACTTCGGAAGGGCAGGCGACAGCGGGGCCTTCTCGCGAAGAGGCGAGAGAGGAGGCTTCTCGGATCCAGGAGGCTGGAGCTGCATGTTGCGCTGCATCTGCTTCATCTTGCGCGAGCGGGCACGACGGACACGTCCCTCGGCGGCGAGCTTACGAGACAGCTCGTCCGCGTTCGGGTCATCCTGGTCCTCCTCACCCTCAAAGTTCGTGAGGCCGATGACCTGGTCATAGGCGAGACCAGTCTCGGGGTCCTCACCGTCATAGTATCCACGCTGAGGAGCACGGGTGCCGGTGCCCTCATACTGCGAGTAGAGGCTGTCGGCGCTGTCGTTCCTAACGACATAGCGATCGGCTGAGGGAGGGCTCAGCTCCTCTACGGTGGTCTCGTCGCCATGGCCCGAAGAGCCAGGGCGGCTGCTGAGAGGCGTACGGTTCTTGATGGGAGCGCTGGTCGCACCTCCAGTGACGTAGATGTCGATCTGGAGCTGCGACTCGTCAAGGCGGTTGGAGAAACGACGCAGCGCGGACGCGGCCCAGGTGATCTCGGCGTATTCACGCACGATCCAGACGAAACGCAGCCTCTTTGTCTTGCCCAGGAAACCGCGCTCGGACATGACTGACGACAGATAGTCGATCATGGCGAGGCCGAACGTAACACCGGAACCGCCGCAAACCATGAGGACATTGGTGTAGTCGGTCCAGGCAACGCGACCAGCGGAGCCCATGGGTCCCTCGATGCGAGCGCGGATGTGGACCGGCTTCGCCTCGGGAATGATCGACATGCGGCGCGAGTTGCGGTCGGGCACCATGGTCTTCTCATACTGCTCACGGACATAGTCGTAGAGCTTGCGAGTCGTACCGTTGCGAGCCTTGATGATGAGGACGATCTCGTACGGGTCGTTGCTGGAGACGGTGAAGGGGTGGGAGCGCCATCGGGTGATGTCCGGGAGGGTCAGGAGAACACTCTGGCCAGGGCCATGAACCATGGGTCGCGCAGTACGGATAGTGAGTCGCACAGTACGCGACGGCAGCAGCTGCGCCTGGGCGTATCCTGCCGGGATGGGAGGGGGCCTGGGAACAATGAGAAGGTTGGTTCCTGGAGGAGGGAGAGCGGAAACGTCGCTGGAGCTCTCGGAGCTGTAGAAGCTGAGTGCCTTCTCGACGTAGTCAAGGTGAGCAATGGTTCCGTCGAGGTCGGCCTTGTGAGGCACCGGTGCAGCCCGCGAGGGGAATCCGTTGATGTACATATAACGGATGAACCGGCAGAACTTGTCGCCAGCCCAGAAGATCAGGGCGATGCCGGCGTAGTACCAGATGATCGAGTGGTGACACATGGCGCAGATGATACCTCCGATCATGCAGATGACATGGACCCAGTAGAACAGACCGTAGTAGCGGTTGCGGACCCACTTGATGGAAGTGACCATCGCAAGGGTCCACATGCAGTAGGCCGTGATCCCAAAGCGGAACCGATCCGTAGTCAACATCGCCTTCCACATCGGAACACCGTGGTATGTGTTCTTGAACAGCTGAACAGTCCAGGTATACACGTGGATCGTGACCATGAAGTAGACGAACCAGCCACCAGCACGGTGGAAGGTACCAATCTTGTCCCAGTGGACGTGAGTGAAGAAGGGCAGAGAAAGGATAGCGAACGGCGGCGCCTTAAGGGCGAGAATAATGAGGAACGGCAGGCAGCAGAACACCATCATGCCGAAACGGTTGCCAACAGTCCACCAGTCCTTCTCGACCGTCCACGTCACCAGTGTCTGCAGAGCGTCCGGTGAGTCCCGCTTGACGAAGTTCCATACAGGGATGTCGCTCGCGAGGTGATCCGGGCCCAGGAGAGCCAGGCAGAGGGTAGTGAACGCCACAATGAACATAATGACCAGCATGTTGTTCGAGGGGAGCACGTGGCTGTAGAGTCTTCCAATGCGGAACGTGTGTCGCCGGATCCCCCACTTGTTCCACCATGATCCGATCGAACCCCCCGAGAAGTTCAGATGGTGGCAGATAGCGTACACACAAGTCAACCCGCCGATAATGATCCACCACAAGTGCGCATAGCGGTACTTAGGGTGGCTGACGTTAGCGCTGGTCCTGGCGCATTCTAAGAATATCGTCGGAGTGATCGCACCGACGGGGCAAAACTCACTTTCCGTGCGCCTCGTGCGCATGAATGTAGCCAAATACGAAGTCGTGCGGTGCTAAAGTCCAGGTGTCGGTCGCATTCGGGGCGCTCTGGGTGGAGGACCCGACAGTAGGGAGGGGGGTGGGGGAGGTAATGGTGGAAACAGTGCTCGAAGCGTTAAGGCTGGCTGCGGCGATGGAGGCAACTACAGTTGGTTAGTGGTAGACTCTGGCTAATGCGGATGATCGAGATTGGCGGATATGGAAACCAGCTTACCTCCAACGGCCGCGGTGTTAACCAGCGATGATACCACAGATGACGGCGTTTGTGTAACAGTGATGGTGGCCGGGGTCGGTGGCAGCGACTGCGAAGACATTGTCGGGGAGGCGTTCACGATGTTTGTCACGTTGACGGTATTCAAAACGTGGTCAGTCACAGTGGTGTGGGCGGTATCGGCTGCGGCCTTCGAAACAGACTTGAGTGACGATGAAATCGACTTGGAGATTGACTTCAGCATACCTGACACATTAGCCAACCATAACAACTTCAAACAGCCATGCCTAACTCACTGGACTGCTGCTTGGAGTTGAGTGGGACTGCTGCTTGGAGTTGAGTGAGGTCTGAGCCGCCTCAGTGATGGACGCAAGGACCGCACTCGGGTCGACGGAGGATACCTCGGCTGCCATCTGGGGCAACTAGGTCTTTTGGAGAGAGGCGATGGAAGGGAGGTAGAGAGCAGGCGGGTGGGGGAGGGTGGTGGGAAGGGGAAGTGGTCTTATGTCGAGGCACCGCGCAGTCGAACAATCGATGGGAGAGGGAAGAAACAATGAGGGTGGCAGTCGAAGGAGTGTAGGCGGCGGTCGTCGAGTGGTATTATAACAATGAGGAGCACGAGAGAGTCGGCGACGATCGCACGCACAGCAAGGGGCAGGGACAATGGTTGAGAGAATGGCATCACTGGGTATATATCGAAGAACACAGCGGAGAGGACCAAGGAAGCGGGCAGATCCAGGAGACGTTGGCAAGAAGCGCAGAATGCGCAAGAGACACAGGCTGGAGGTGGCCGCTGGCTCTCCTGGCCGCTGCCGTCTTACGGGACGTCGTGCTGGTACGGGTCGTAGGGCTGGTCGAGGTCATTTCGGACCGCTAGTGTGTGGTGCTAGTTGCAGTGGCCGCTGAAGGGCGAGCGGCAGGCTCTGGCCCGTAGCCCTGTAGGCTGCCCGTGGTGTTGTTCTGTTTCTCTGCCAAGTCTGAAACTCGACACTAAAATTCAGGCACCCTGGCAACCCTGGCAAAGAGCGTGATAACGTTTTCGTAGGACACGGGAACCACTCCGATCCTGGATTAAGAAGAGGGTTCTGCGGGGCGAGCTACATGCAATGCTGATTGCGTACAAAGCGGCCTTGGTCATACTCCGCTGAGACACGCACGAGCAGGATCGCCCAGGACACACCACGCCGCCAAGGGTCGCATAAGCATCGAATACGCCTTGGTCAAGGAGAGTTACTCGTTTTACGTGGCCAGCCGTTCCTATGCCGTATTGAGCACATGCGCGTCCGACCCTCCCGGTACGTCTGATACCTGAGTAACTTGCCTGATTGTCCCAAGCATGGTAGTGCATACTCCACCGGCACTGTCCTTGTTTCCAAGGCTCCAACCGTACTCGGGGTCGCAGCTCCGTAGCTTCTCGCCTGCTGCGATTGCTTGGCTATGGACCGCTTCCCATCTGAAAATACTCCCCATCAAGCTTAGTCGTCTCAGGGAAACCGTCCTTCCTGTTGCCCGACGTCCGACATCCCTTAAACCATTACGGCCCGCCCACTGCTTGACTGTCATCTGTCAACCTGTTTGCTTGCATATCAGTGCTTGCAGTGTCCGCAGGATAGGCAAATAAGATAGGACTGGGAAACGTTGGTGACTAGGATCGCGTGTCGAGGACCCGACGGACCAGACACCGAGCAAATAAAGGGATCACACCCTGCCATGATTTACATGTGGTATGCCGGACTCGAGTATGGCGTACTCTTGTAACACTATTGCCCGGGTAGCGGCTGCGGTTCACAGCGGCTCGCGGATGAGGGATGGTGGCGGACAGCGGAACAGCGCACCCTGCACTGACTGAATGGTTGCAGCCTATGCTTTGCAACTTCGTGCATTTAGTTGCCAGCTGAAATGTTAGAGACTGGTCATGGCACCTGTGGAATGATTGCTCCTTCGGCAAACGTGTACTGTGGGAGCATTGAAGTGCGTACTTGCTAAGGGGCTTCTGAGTCGTAACAACATGGCTTGACATTGCTTGACACTGATTGCTTATGGCTTGTCCAGAACCGTAAAGCAGGCTGGACATGGCAACGAGGATCGCTGAAATGACCATGTCCGTCTCGACATCGGCGATCTGTGACCGCTTCATAGAGCTCTGCAGGGTATCGTTCCGAGCTGCCTAGATACATTGGCGTGCGAGGTGACAGAGTGCTTCTTAAGTGGAAGAGGCATGCACGACCTCTCACTCCACTCATGTTTCGTCGACAACTCTGAGTGGTGAAGCTCTGAGCCAAATGCGGAGACGCATCAGAGCAAACGTTAAGGCCGGATTCTGTCCTTTCCGTTGGTCCCACGGCTACGCCGGGTGGTATAACACGTTTCATCATCCTACTGAAAGTCTCCTGAGTTACGTTACCACCGTGATTCCTGGCAATCCCTCCGGCGGTCTGCAGCGCGCATACTCGACCCTCTTCGGGGGATAACTTGTCTCTCATCAATGCACACTACAAAACGAGGTCGTACTCCTTCGGCTCCCACCACTGCTTCCAGTCCTTTACGCTGTCTTGGATGCAGATTTGTCCGCAGTACCGCATCACTCAGGATTGCTGGATGTCCGTGCCGCTCACGTCTGCCAGCAAAGCCAGGGTCCATGACAGGTACGTCAACAGGCTTGACGATACTTTTGCAACCGAGAAACCCAAGATCACCAACTCGGCGATGGATCATTGCGCTTGACAGACACGTAAACAGGAAAATCAGCCGCCAAAACCGGCTGTCACTTCTGTGGGTCTGGGTGCTGATGGACTGCGATTATCTCCATACATCTCCATACGGCATCTGCTTTGCGAACTGAGGGAAAGCGGGGGGTGACGATCCCTCGTTGCTCCGTCGGCTCGACGACGGCCGTCCCAGACCCTGCACCTATCCGCCGGCACATGAATTGCTTCGTGCCGGAACCCTCTTAGAACCCTCTCCCAAATCGCTGAATTTGAACATGCATCATCTCGGAGGCTTCCCACCTGTCAAACAATTGTAGGAATGGATACCTCGTGGACAGCAAGGACGGCGGCTTGCGGACGTCCATCGTCCATCGACGACGATCACTACTCGGCCGTCGAGGTCTCGGGCTCTGCTCACATCATGCGGAGATACATCCCGTTCCGTGGCGCTGATGGACGTGCACGCACCCTGCAGCCCCCCTCCACCTGCAATTACCCTCTTACTGCTTCTGTACCCGAGACGGATCCCGCCTGGTTGCCAACTTTGCGTGCGTTGAATTCGATATGAGCTAGGAAGAATGCAAAAGTGTACCATGAAGTGTCCGCAGATGAGGCTCACCGGGCTCGGTGCGTGTCATGCTGGCGGTTATTTCGAAGCAACGTAGGCCGCCTTCTCCAGAGACAGCTTTGCTTCTTCCCGTGGCAAGAATCGCTGTTGCAGACTTCGTGTCATTGTGCAATCTGGCACAGCGAGACCTGACGAAAAGCTCCGAGTAGTCGACTGACGTCGGCCGCTGTCGTCAGAGCGGTCATCGAGGCGGACTGACTTTTGACTCTGTAACATGACCAGCCTGGTCAAGGAGTCCAAGCAAGTGCACAGACGTCGAACACAGTCTGGGCCGTATCGATCACCATCACAAGGTTGTCCCGGAGTCACTGCTAGGTGTCTGCTGGGTTATGTATAACGATTGTAAGGTTTAAGGTGGAGTCTAAGGCTCCGAGACTCGAGTCTGGTAGCCTGTTACAAGCAGAGCTGATTATTCCGACAGAACACGATGTTTTGAACGTTGCATCGCCTTGTTCCCATGCGTAAGAGGAGACAGAAGTGGAAGCCTCAGTGGGCGTTGTCCGCTGGGACGAACACGCGGGCAGGCCGATAGCCGCGCAAGGTGGTTGTCCTGGAATGTGGTTGCAAGCGAGCAAGCATCTGTTTTAAGCTCTACGTGCCTTGCGCGTTTGAGGATAACCATGATCCTGGAATGAGAGCCGGATTGCGGCAGCACGCGTACCAGCTGCCAGCTGCGGGTTCGAATGATCACGGCATGCAGGATGATTCCAGCGAAATTTGCCCTGCCGTTACTAGTGAGGTTCTGCGAACGTTGGCCGGACGACTTCCCTGATTCCTCATTCCGCGACTGTTATCGGCTTCGCAGGGTTCTCCCATCTTTTCCCCTCAACCCCGACTGCCTCGAGATCTCCAGGCAGCCTGCCCAGGGAACCAGGTCGACGCAGCGGCTGTCGGTAGCAACCCGCGAGTCACGGGACGCGGATCTGTCAGAGATGATCGTTGGCGTGTAGCGGGATGCTACACCAGACCTGGACTCTGTCTGGATGAGTTCACAGTGCATGAGGAGCTGGTCCGTAGTCACGTCGGGCAAGCTGCGAGTTCTTCAAATGCATACTCCTCCTCAGCTCTGATGCAAAAGCTCGAGGAGAGGCTTGTGCGACCGGCAGCTTCACGCAACTCTGTATGTTGGGTTAATGAATGTTTCGAGTATGTGTTTAAAGCTCCGAGTCTCTCGTTCAGCACGACGAACGCAGCAAGCTTTGTTGCGACGCTGCTGGAGACCACTGAAGCCCAGGTCCGAAGAGCAAAACCACGCTCCCGCTCCCATACTTGCGGGCCTCAGTGCGCAGCCCACGCCACTGCTTTCAGCAATAGCCAAAGCCGGCGTGATTCCGTTTCTTCAAAATGCAACAACTGCTCCTCTTCCCCCCTGCGTTACTTGTTCTCTGCATTCTCGATCGTCCTTCCAAGCACTTCCATGCATGGGCTCAAACTGCCAAGGGCTCCCCGTCCCGAGGTCCAAGCCAGCCCAGTATGTCTTGGAACCAATAGTCGGTCTCGCGCTGGTGAACACGGTAGGGGAGCATGGGAGCACTAATCTGCTCTCTCAATAGCGATGAGGGTCGCGGCGACGAGCCGGACCCATCGATGTTTGGTCGAGTGTGAGATTCGGGCTTTGCTCAGGTCCGCTCAGGATCCGTGTTGGACCGAAATGTCGCGGGTGTCGGGGCCGGCGAGTGCATGAACGTTCGCAGAGGGTGTGGATAATCCTGGGTCATGCATTGGCCTGATCGCCGGATAAGGGCTGGGATGACGTCGGAGTGTTCCCAGAAGACGTTATCAGGCGACGGCCCTTAGCGTAGGAGCTGAAGTGCGGAACGCTCCCGTTCCTGCGACTTCCAGTAGTCACACCAGCATCCATACAAGTGCCGCATGCTAGCGCCTCTTGACCTCGCGTTCCTGCTGTCGTACGTGGTCACTCCTGTCGTGCTCCAATCGCGCTACGGCACACTACGGGCTGCACGCGGCGACACGCACCCCGTGATCTTCCGTGCCTCCCAAGGCTCCCACGCAAACAAGAAAGTGAGAGCGCCCATGGCGCTGGGTCAGCAGGATCCGCAGATCTGGATACATCGGGGACATAGTTGGCAGCAGGTGCCGTCAGTGCCGCAGGGATTCTGCACGCCGTTGAAGGCCGCCAGCAACCTGTGCACTCCTCAGAACCGCCGGCCGCCGCGCCGTGTCAAAGACAGGGCACCCTCTCAGGCGGTTCGCGAGCGCTTCCGCGGCTCGCTTCTGGTCGCAGCGATGCCGTTGATATCGCCTCAATAGATGATAGCCCATTCTTCTGCCGATTGCACTGGAGCGTACTAAGGGCCGTCTGAGCTACGATCGCATACTATAGTTTCAACAGGTCGAGTGCTTACTGGCGGTGACGCAGGCGTACGCGCACGGCGTTCCGCCATGCTGAATGTGGCCGGAAAGAGGCGGCTGTTGGTCAAGCGACTTGGACGCCGACCAGCCACCCACATCAGTCATGCTCTTGGGAGCCAGTCACAGTTAATGGTAAGGTGCAGCTGAAGCATGCTGACCTGGCGGGTCGCGCTAGCAAACCTTGCACTAAGCGGTGCGGGGTGGTGTGCGGGGTTGCTCGCACCGTTCACCGGATGCAGCGGACAGCAGAGGTCTGTCGCCGCGGAGAACGTGCGCCATGCCGTCTCTTGCTCTTCTGCGCTTTCCTTTCTACACGTCACCTATGACGGGGGTTCCGGAAGCGGAGCCTGCTCGATCTCCTGGACGGAGAAGGACAACATGAGATCAGAGACAGAGAAACAAGCGTCAAGCTCCAAGCTCCAGGTCCGAGGTCCGGGACATCAGGCTCCAGGTTTTGAGCTCCGTTCGCTGAGCGCTGGGCTGAGGTGGAGGCGAATGCTGACTGTAACGCGAAGCGATGAAACGTCGAAACGTGTAGAGCTTATCCCCAGATTTCACTGCTGGCTGCGCATCGTACTCGGTTCGCAAGTGGATCACACTGGAGTGAGCCAGCCGCTTCCGCGCACCTTAGACTCCTACCCCTTGCTTAAGCCCGTGATCTCTCCAGGTTGACATCAGCAAGTGTCCGAGGTTGACCGATCACGCTGCCATCATGGTTGAGCCCAAGATGGCTTGCAAACGAGGCCTGCTTGCCAACTACAAACGTGAGTGGCTTCCCGGTTTCGCGGGATCTCGGCGTCTCTGGGCTTTCGTCTCGGCAGACTCGGCGTCTCATCCATTCTCAGATGCAGGGAACGATTGTACAGAGAGCCGGGGGTACCTGACCGTGTCCACCTTTCTCGTTAAGCTTCGCCAAGTGCAGGTAAGCTTGAGTTGATCTTGCGTGTACTTCTCGTAGCTCGACAGGTGGGCTCTCCATGCGATCGGTCGTGCTGTATCGGAGGCTTAGACTCAAGCGCCGAGCATGCCCAACGAGCACACAGCTCGTGCACTGCTGTGCAAACAGAGTCCGGCCCACTTGATCGCGCCCGCTCGCTTGCAAGGCGCCGCTCACGGTGAACGCTGAACAGCCACGACCTGCCACTTCCGGCGAC